TTAGTTGGGGCCCACCCCCATCGAGGTGTCAACAAGGATGACGGCACCTCCAGACCCTTTGTTGAATCATCTCCAGAGTCCCTCTTGCCAGTTCAGGTCACATTTGCAAGTTCCAGGGTTAAAATGTGGACTTATCTTCTGGGGGGCCACCACTCACAACGCTCATCCTACACCGTTATTATTAAGCTCGCACATGCACACTCCTGCTTTTTTTCCCCTTCTAGCACTTTGCCCCATCTGACAGGTCTTTTCTTGTTTTGTCCCTTGTCTGACACCCCCACTTACACATCAGCTCAAGTGACATGCTCTCTGCCTCCTTCTGCCCTGCCCCATCCCTGGAGCATCCAGCACACAGTAGATGCTCAATAAATGTTTGCCGGATAGAAGACTCTATAATAGAAACCGTCGGAATTGGGCAGCCCGGTTCTCAGGTGCCTGCTCATCACCCACTGCCGGGCTTTCCACTATGGCTCTGAGCACTTCACCACCTGTTTGCAAAGCGCGGGAGTGAAAGCAGGAGGGATGCGGGTCAGACTCAAAGTAGGACTTTCTGGGAAGTGACAGCCAGTGGGGGTGTGTTGTTGAGGACATGGAAAATCGCAGGCCTGTCCTAAGAGACCTCAAGCCGATCTGAGGGGTTTTGTCCTCTCTTGAGAGCTCAGTCCAGCACCTCACTCCCAACCAACTCCCGCCCACTCTGATTCAAGGGCAGCTCCATGGTCGGGCTCTCCAGCCCGCACCGCCGCACCCCCGTGGCGCCTCCTCTCTTCCCACGCAGAGCCGGTCGCCAGCCACCCCCCTCCGCTGTGCCTTGCAAACAGCTCCCCCTCCGCCGCCACCAGGCCATCACCTGCTTTCCCTATCAGCGGCCTCGTCGCCCGGCTCCCCGCTTCTGTCACGTCGCCGCTTAGGGTCTGTCCACGGCGCAGGAGCGGCCTCGTCTTTAGAGCTGGGAACCAGCTCAGGCCCCGCCCCGACCTGACATTATCCAATCGTGTCTTTCCTGGGCGGGGCCAAGTCAAACCCCTCCCCCACGAGGCCCCGCCCCTCCCGCCCTCCGCGGCGCTCGCTCGCTGGCAGACACCGGTCCAGCGCCCGGTTCCTCCAGCCCACTCGGACGTGGGCACCTGCTCGTCCTCCTGCCCGGAGCCTGGGTTCTTCGCAGACCTCAGCTTCCCAGCAAATGTCAGCTCCCCGGAAAGGGCGTCCGTGCCGCTGTCACTACCTTCCAGAATCCTCTCCTGTCACCCTGTTTTATTTCCTTCCCAACATTGGGTATTACCAGGAATCATCTTTGTCTGTTTACCTGCGTTCTTGTGTTCAACTCCCCCCACCCCAACACACTCACACACATAAGACCTTGTCTGTCTTGTTCACTGATGGGTCCCAGCCCCGGGCACATAGGAACTCATGCACTTTCAGGACTGAGGAACTGCGCTATGTTTATATAGTCCAGATATACACACATAGATATAAAAGAATTATGATGGCTAGAAGATGCAAAATAAATCTCCCTTTGCAATACCAAATTGTTAACTTAAAAATGAACCCACTTCCTAACAACTGAATCTGAAGAATATCCATGTTTTGTTTTGTTTTTTAAACTCTTTTTTTTTTAATTTTTATTTATTTATTTATACAAGCACTGGGTACAGTCAGAAGCGCGGGAGGGTGAGAGAATTCACCAGAGCCAGAGCGGGGAGCAGAGCAGGCAGAAGGACCGAAGGACACTGCTGAGGGGAGCAGCGGGCGGCAGGAGAGGTCTGCGCGCCATGTGGGACCCTCCTCCGGTGGCCGGGGAGCAGCCGGGATCGAATCGGCACTACAGAGGCTGCGGGCAGCTTCGCAATCCAGCGCTCAACCGCTGCGCCACCGGGGAGGCCCCATGTTTTGTGTTTTTTTGTTTTGTTTTTTTTTTAAGTTCATCTACCTGCAAAGAAGGATGAGGTGTGGTCCTTTTTTGTTTAATTTTTTTTTAAGACTTATTTATTTATGGACCTCCCTGGTGGCGCAAGCCGTTAAGCGCAGCGCTGTGAAGCTGTCTGCAGCCTCTGAAGCAAGGGTTCGATTCTTGGCCAACCAAGGAGAGTCCCACATGGTGCGGTAGACCTCTCCTGTCTCGCCTGCTGCTCCCCTGAGCAGTGCATTTCAGTCAGTCTGCCTGTTCTGTTACCTGCTCTGTCTCTGGTGAATCGTCTCCCCCCACACACATTCATCTGGCCTGTACTCCCGTTCTTGTATGAATAAATCTTTTTAAAAAGAATAATTAATTGTTAAAAAAGATTTATTTATTGGGCCTCCCCTAGTGACACAGCGGTTGAGCGCTGGACTGCAAGGCTGCCCGCAGCCTCTGCAGCGCTGGTTCGTTCCCCGGCCACCTGCGAGGGTCCCACAAAAAAAAAAAAAAAAAAAAAAAAGATTTATTTATTTATTTATTTATGCATACAAGAACTGGGGTACAGGCCAGAGGTACGGGAGGGTGAGAGGATTCACTAGAGACAGAGTGGGGAGCAGAACAGGCAAACTGACTGAAACACACTGCGGAGGGGAGCAGTGGGGAGTCAGGAGAGGTCTGCTGCACCATGTGGTAACTCCCTGGCCAGCCGGGGATCAAACTCGTGCTGCAGAGGCTGCAGAGAGCTTCACAGTGCTGTGCTTAACCCCTTGTGTCACCAGGGGGGCCCTAATCTTTTTTATTTATGCATACAAGTACTGGGGTGTAGGCCAGAGGCATGGGAGGGGTGTGTGTGTGAGAGGATTCACCAGAGACAGAGTGGGGAGCAGAACAGGCAGATCAACTGAAATACACTGCTGAGGGGATCAACAGGGAGACAGGAGAGGTCTGCTGCGCCATGTGGGTCAGCTCCCTGGCCAGGGATCCATCCCATGCTGAAGTGGAAGTAGCTGCCAATAGCTTGAGACTTTAACAACTGCGCCACCAGGGAGGCCCCCGTTCTCATCTTTAAATGTTTTAACTCAGTGGCTCTCAACCTTTTTGCCCTCAGAATTTCTTTACTTTCTTAGGGAAGAACACAGTATTTTTGCCTTAAGCCATCTCAGAAATTAACACCAAGGAGTTTTCAAGATAACCCACATTTTAACATAACAATAATAAATCCTTGATAGGTTCACCCAAATAACATACTTTATGAAAACTAGATTTAACAATGCTAAAATCTTTAGTAAGAAGTATCTTTTACATTTTTGCCAATCTTTGCCAAACCCAGCACAGTAGAAAACAGCTGGAATCTCCCTGCCATGTCTGCACTCACTCTGTTGCTATGTCCCACATCAGGCAGCTGCAGGAAGACTCCATCAGGCCAGCAAGCAATGGGGGGGGGGGGGGCGGGGGCGGTGCGGGGGCGGGGAGGCAGAGGGAAAAGTCAGTATGAGAATCTGATCTGACAGCTTCTCCCCATACAAGGCACTCTCAGGAACCCCTCTCGTGTCCACTTTGAGAAGAGCTAAAATCAATGCTCACAACCACGCTATAAGGTGTGTGCTAGAATGAAATGAGCCTCATTTCACAAGGGAGAAAACTAAGGCTCAGAGAGGTGAAGTTACTGGCCCAGAATCACACAGTAAGTGGCAGTGCTGGGGTTTGAACCCCAACAGTGATGCTCTTCACCTCCAAAACCCTCGTGCCTGGGCCTGGGTAATCATGAATACATTGCATAGTAGGAGGTTCGCTCTGGGGGCCTGGCCACCTTCACGGGAGATAGGCGCCAGGGACGAGCCTGAAACCCTCCACTGACATCCTAACAAATCTCTTCCAATACAAACAGGGAAATTTTATTGACTGAGAGCCCATGATTACTGGCTCTCTCCTCTCTCTGTAACTGCCCTGGCAGCTGGAAGGGGTTTAGTCTAGAGCCCAGCTGAGAAGCTTTCAGGGAGGAAAGGATTATCAGGCTGCAGCCACAGCCCAGCTCCTGGGTGCTCACTGGTTGTCACCAGTAGGTCGTGCTGCACCAGCTGGGGCACTTGTGTTGAGGTGTGTGTCTTGCATTTTCCATCTGTCCAACCTGAGGCCGGTGCTTGATCTGCCAACCCCTGCCTGCCTCTGCTAAGACTTTCCCCCATTTTCATTTGTGCTTGGGGTTTGCCAGGAGTGCTTAAGCTCCTGGAGATGGCCCCCCAATACCAGGTTGCCAGCAAGCATCCTGGGACCCTGGGGATGGGCAGTGGGGAGGAGCCTGAGGGGGAGAGAGTAGGATCCTCCATCAAAGTGGGCGAAAGTCCAGCTGGAGCTCCGGGGTCCCTGTTCTCCATGGGAGACTGCAATTCCTGAATTCCACTTATGGTCTAATGGGGGAATTTGGATACCAGGGTTCCCGTCTTGGTGCCTGGGTCGCGTTTGGGGCGGACTGTGGAGGATGGAGGTTAAGCCCCCAGAATCCTGCTCTCTTAAAATCCTTGGATTCCTGGGTCTTGGTCTCAGAAGAGGTGGTCTGCAGCCGAATCTTTATAAGACCTTAGAAGTCGGGGGTCAGGGGAGGAGAGCGGGAACTTTGGGTGCCTGGGAGGGGCGTGGTACTGACACCCTGGAGTTCGCTCCTGAAACGGGAGGGTCTCCAACAAGTGGATGCATGTTCCTGAAGGGGAAACGGACGTCTGGGCCTCCACCCGAACGCGCCTCGGGTGCAGGGTGCCCACCTCGGCTCAAGAGTGCTGGGGCTCCGGGTTCTCTCGGGGGAGCTGGGGCGCTGGTGCCTCCTGGTAGGGTTTGCAGATAGTGCCGGGACTACGTGTTCCTCCTGGGAATGCGGGACGCTCTGATTCCGGAGCTTCTCCTTCTGGCCAGAGGGGGAAGGACCCCTGACGCTGCCGTGGGGTGAGGAGCCTCGGGCACCCACTGACTCGCTTGGGGCAGCCCCTAGCGCTGTAAGGGCGCGAGGCGCGGGAGGGGACTGGACCGAGGGGCGGAGACCGGGAGGGCGGGGCCTCGGGAGACCCCGCCCCCGCTCGGCGCGCCGTCCGCGCCTCCCCAAGTCTGCGAGGCCGAGGTGGGCGCCAAGAGCAGAGCGCCACAGCCCGCGCGCCCAGCCGAGCCGGGCCCGCCCGGGGTCTATGGGGACGCCCCTCCGCGCCGCCCGGCCGGCCACACGCCGCGCCCGGAGTCAGCCTCGCAGCCAGGTAACGAGGCTGGGGTCCTGAGGGTAGGGGACGCCAGGAGGCTGTCACGAGGGCACCGGTAACTCCCGGGTCTTGCAGGAGCAGGAGGCTGCAACTCCAGCGTCCTGGGGGCCGGGGTGTCGCAACGCCTGTGCACCGAGGAAAGGGTACACGAACGTTTGGGTCCTCGCGAAATAGGGGGCCGGAGGGCCCGGACACCAAGGTCTCGGGCATGTGGAACACCTGGTTGAGGAAGCTTGAGGGTGGCCTGAAAAGGGGGGGGGGCGGGGAGAAGAAGGGAGAAGACGGACGTCCAGCCCTGGAGGAGTGAAGACCACCTCGCTGAACATGGTCCTGGTTCTGCGGGGTCTGGAGACCAGGACACGGGGCCCCTGAATGTCGGGACCACCCCGGGCGCGTCCTCGGGCTGGGGCTCCGGGCGCTGACTCGGGGGCTGGGGCCCCGGCCGGGTCTTCAAGGAGGAAGTTGTGGCGGCGGTGGTCTGGCGGTCTGGACACGTGGCACCAGCCCGACGGGGTGGGAGGTGGTCCCTGGGCAGATCACGGGGTGAGATCCCTGCCCTCTGCCCCCCTCCTCCTCAGCCCGGTCCAGAAAATAAGCGCCCCGCGGATGCGGGAGACCCGACTCTTGGGATGGACTCGAGGGGGGCGAATATCGGGGCGGAGGGCTCCGGGGGCTGCAGCCCGGAGATCCAGGGCGCAGCCGGGCGCCTGCCCCCCGCCCGACTTGGGCATGCTTGGCACGCAGCGCGCGGGCCGGCCGGATCCGTATGCGCGCCGCGTGAGCCTATTGGTATGCGGGAGCCGGCCCGGCGCGGGCGTGAGACGGGCGCTGGCGGGCGGCGCGGGGGAGGCGCGGCGGGGCACGTCCTCCCCGAGAGCCTCGCCAGAGGCCCCGCATGGTCAGCGGGGCGGGCCCCGGGCCCCCCGCCTCCGGGGAGGGGAAGCGGGGGCACCATCGCACCCCGGCTCCTGCCTGTGACTCAGAGCTCTGCACCGACCTCAGTTTCCCCAGAAGGTCGCCCGGGGGAGCCCCCGGCCCTGAGCGCTGCCACCGGCTCCTTCTGGCTGCAGGCGACGCGAGTCTCGAGGACCGCCCGCGGCTCGGAGCCCGCCTGAGGAGGCTCGCGGACATGGCGGCCCCCTACCCCGGCTGCGGCGGCGCAGGCCAGGTCAAAGGCGGGGGAGGCCGTGGCGGCGGCAGCGTCGCGTGGGACTTTCTGCCCGGGCTCGCGGTCAAGGCCCCGCCGGGACCCTGGTGAGCAGAGCCCGCCCCGCGGCCGCGGCCCCGCCCCGGGGAGGGGTCTGGGCGAACGGGCTCCCCTCGTGCACCGCCCCCCGGGGCTGGAATTTCCTACCCGGAGTTGCTCGAGCGTGTTCTGCCGCCCGCTCCCGCGCTCTGCCCCAGCCCCTTCCTCAGAATTCATGCCACCGTGCTTCATCTCTCCCCTCTTGCTCCTCCTTCCTCCCAGAATTTACACCCAAGGTTCTGTCCCCACCGCCGAGATGTAGAATTCACACTCGGGTCCTGCCCACACCGCCTGCGAGTTGAATCCACTTCCAAGGTCCCGTCCCGTTCCCAAGGCCCCAGGAGGTGGGGCTCGTGCCCAGGACCCCGCCCGGGGCTCTCAGGGCCCGCTGACGCCCCCTCCGCGCCGCCCGCCCAGCCTGCAGGCGCAGCGCAAGGAGAAATCCCGGAACGCGGCGCGCTCGCGGCGCGGCAAGGAGAACCTGGAGTTCTTCGAGCTGGCGAAGCTGCTCCCCCTGCCCGGAGCCATCTCGAGCCAGCTGGACAAGGCGTCCATCGTGCGCCTCAGCGTCACCTACCTCCGCCTGCGCCGCTTCGCGGCGCTCGGGGCGCCCCCCTGGGGGCTGCGGACCTCGGGACCCCCAGCCGGACTCGGTGAGTGCGCATGCGCGGGGGGGGCGGTGCCCTCGCGCTGGGGGCAGGGCCCGCCCGCGCCCACTTTCTTGACCCAAAGCGAGCACGGGGTGCGTAGTGAGCCAGGCGTCTTGTGTCCCCACCAGACGGCTGCTACTCTCCGGGCCTCCGTTTATTTATCTGTAAAATGGGTGCGCGAGGGCCTCCCCGGTGGCGCAGCGGGTTGAGTGCAGCGCTGTGAAGCTCTCCGCAGCCTCTGCACGCGGGTTCGATTCCCGGCCGGCCAGGGAGAAACCCACATGGTGCATAGACCGCTCCTGCCTCACCCGCTGCTCCCCTCAGCAGTGTCTTCGGTCAGTCTTCCTGTTCTGCTCCCCACTCTCTCTGGTGAATTCTCTCACCCTCCCGCGCCTCAGACCCGTACCTCAGTTCTTGTATAAGTAAATAAATCGTTAAAAAAATATTAAAATGGGTGCACGAGGTAGCGCACCACCAGCTCGTGAATTCTGGCCTAATCAAGAACCTGGCAACTTGGGGAGGTCAGACCACTGGTAAATACTGTTGTTTATATTAGAGGAAATGAATCGTTATTATCACGCATGAGCCCTGCAGTTCCCTGAGCGGCCTGCCTGGGCCTCCTGTCCACTAATGGACAAGGGAAACACACAGAAAAGGTACAAAGTAGGGGACAGGGACAAAGAGAGACACAGGGCCCTTGACTCAGTCCCCCACAGTCAGGAGCAGAGGGCTCTAGACATTCAAGCTGGGGGTGGACCCCCTCCCCAATCCTGCAGAGAAGGACTTTGGGGCATGGATTCTGTGACCTGGAGGGTCCCCAGCACTTGGCTCCTGCAGGGCTAAGGGCTCAGAATGGGCATCTAGCCCCAGCGCTGTCCCACCCCAGCTGTGTGCCACAAGACCAACCCCTTCCCCGCCCCCCGCCTCAGTTTCCTTCTCTGTCAAGTGGACTTGCTAAGAGCTCTGAGCTCCGGGGCTGATGGGGCTTTGGACGTTGTGACCCTGGGTACGTCGCCTCCCCTCTCTGCCTCATTTGCGAAATGGGAATCATGATTAAACCCCACAACCTCCAGAGCTGAGAGGATCAACCTGGTCATGTGTGTAATGAGCGCAGGGAGTCTGGCGGGGAGTAAGAATCAACAGGCAGCCACTGGTGCATGCTGGGGGCAGTTTACTGAGCTGCCACTGTCCGCTGTTCTGACCCCTGGGGATCCCTCGGGAAATAAGCTAGAGCCCCTGCTCTAGACAGGCTAACATCCTGTGGTCAAGGCGCCGCGGAGAAGGACAGTCTAGAATATGCACAAATACAGAACACGTGAAACAGATACCCAAGTAGCTACTTTGATTATCATTCAGACTTTATTACCGATAGATCCATGGAAGTGTTGTGCGATTGTTATCACTTCTGCTTTATGTGTTACCGCCTTCCTCTTATGACTAGGAGACAGCGGATGGCATTAATCTGAGGTCACAGGGCAGACAGGGCACCCTAGGCTACCCAACCCTCAAGAAGGGAAGTCCTTAGGGTGGGGCTGGAGGGGCTCCAATTCCCCTCCTGCCCTGGTCCCAGGGGAGGAGGGGGGGGGGAGAGAAAATAGCATTGATTAAACTCGCAATAAATCACCATTTAAATTTAAATAATCCTGCTTCCCAGGCGGTAATTAGGCGAATTGACTGGCGCCGAGAGAATGCGGCATTAGTGCCGCTGATTACTGTCATTACCTCGAACAACATGTGTGCCGGCAGGGGATAAACATCTTGTCTATTGTCCCCGAACCCAGGGGAGAAAATAGGGGGGTGCTGAGAGAGACCCGCCAGTGTCCAATCCCCCACCCCCACTCCACTCCCACCTCCACTGCCTTAATGGTGATTTGGGGGGGAGCTCTACTCTCTGCCTATGGGTGCAACCATGGGGAAGGGGGAGTACAATGTGGGGCAAAGCACACTTTGTGGGGTCCCTCCTGTATCCCCACAAGTGGGAAATTGGAGGCATCTCCAGCTGTTCAGGATCTCCTAGGAGAGGCTTTCATAGTGCACATGGGGAAACTAAGGTAGGGTCTTTGCGGCAGCAGAGAGCAAAGCATTGCCTTCCAGTCTGAAGGGCAGGGACCCAGGTCCTCTTGGGTAACAGTACTCACATGTTGTGCATCTGATACTGTGGACAAACTAACTGGCTCAATCCTCTCAAACCTTTGGTGCAGGCAATGTTCCCACTCCCATTTTAGAGGAATGGAAAACTGAGACCCAGAGCGGTGGCTGTGGGCCAGGGTCACCCAGCCAGGCAGGGGCTCAGCTGGGGTTCAGACCCAGCAAGGCTGGTTCTAGATCCCACCTTCTCAACTGCCATACTTGATCTGTTAGTAGGTCTTCAGGGTGGGGTCCTGCCTGGCAGGTCTCTGCCTCTCTCTGGGCTTCAGTCTCCCACCTGTAAGATGGGACCACAGTGGTCGAGGTCAAGCCTGGGGCTCTGAGTCTGGAAAAGACAGCCTTGATTTTATGTCAGCATCTGTCATTCATTCAGCAAGTGCCCACCGAGCACCTTCCCTGAGTAGGCCACTGGTGTAGGTGCGGGGGTCACAGCAGGGAACAGGACACAGTACCTGCCCTACAAAGTCTGCCTGGCAGGTCCCCCTTCCCACCTTCCTGATCACATCACTATACCTGTTGCTTCCTCAAGGACATGCACACCCACACACCCGCACACCCCACATTGCTGTTCTTCATAGACACGTGTTCTCACCTCAGGGCCTTTGCATTTGCTGTCCCCACCACCAGGAACTTCCTTCAGAATGTCAGTTCTTCCCTAAGCCTCCCCTGACTATGCTTATTAAAAATGACAACACACCCCAACCCCAGCTCTCCCTGCCTGCCTTACCAGCCTTCTGTCTTTCCACAGTGCTGATGGCATTCCAAGGTTAATGTCTGTTTTCTTGCATTTATTGTGTATGTCTTCTCCATAGCACTTTGTTCCCTGGACATAGAATGGTGGCTGGTCAAGGGAAAGATTCACTGAATATTTCTTGGGTGACCTTGGAAGGGAGGGAGCAAGCTACGAGGGAAGCTGGGAAAACAGTGCAAGTGCAAAGGGCCTTGGGCAGGTGGGAAACAGCTTCCCATCTGCTGACCCAGTGAGACCAGGAGCTCTAGGAGAGGAGTATGTAAGGTGGGGAGTGGTCAGCAGGAGCAGGTCCTGCTGGGCCTCAGGGGCCAAGGTGAGGACTCCAGATGTTACCCTGAGCCAGTCAGGAGCCACAGAGGTAGCGGAATGAAGCAGAGAGCCCAGGGAGGTGAGTGTAGGGCAGGAGGTGGGCAGCTAGACCAGGGTGGAGGCTGTAGAGTGAGAGGTGGTTAGAGTGGGGTGATGCAGTGAGGGGACAGCTGTGGGGTGTACTAGAAATGAACATGGGCATTAGAGAAAGAGAGAGGTCAAAGCCAATGGCAAGCAACGACCCGGAAGCGTAGAGGTGCCCCTGGGTTGTCCGGAGAAATATAGTCTTGTGTCACTTCATCACGTGTGCCGCTGCCACGTGTCCCAACAGGCTGCGCCATCCAGCCCTGGTGTGTGTATGTGGGGGGCTGTTCACTAGGCTTGGGTGTCACCTTTTTTTGCACAGCGATGAGGTGCCCTGACCACACATTTCTTTTTCTTTTTTTTTAAGATTTATTTATTTATGCATGTAAGAACTGGGTGTAGGCCAGAGGGAGGTGAGAGGACTCACCAGAGACAGAGTGGGGAACAGAACAGGCAGGCTGACTGAAATACACTGCTGAGGGGAGCAGCGGGGGAGGCAGGAGAGGTCTGTTGGCCCATGTGGGTTTCTCCCTGGTGGGCAAGGGATCGAAGTCGTGCTGCTGTGGCTGACAGGAACTTGATAGCACTGTCTTTAACACCTGCACCACCAGGGAGGCCCCCTAACTACACATGTCTCAGGATGTGACCCTGCCGTTCATTGCGGTGCCACTGCAGGGCCGGTCCTGGTAATGAGTCCCTATGCCTGACTGTGACACATCTGCTCCATTTCACGTGCTCAAAGTCCTGCTCCATGGCTGAACCCATTTCACAGCTGGAAAAGTACAAAGTTCCAGCAGAGGCGCTGCACCCCAACCCTCATGTCTGTTCCCAGGGAGCAAGGCACTTTGATGGGGGGGTGCAGTGTGGTGGGTTGTCTCTCCCAAAGACCAGACCCAGCCCTTCATCCTCATTACCGCTGTCCGCAAATCCCTTGGGACAGCTAAGACTTGGAGATCGAAGGTGGAGGGGGGACCCCTAGAACCTGGGAGAGGTCTGGGTACTGTCCTCTGCCCCTTGCCCCCTCCTCTCTTTCCCTGGCCCTGCACCCCCATGATTAGGACTGGAGCAGTTTTTCTTCCCCTGTAGACAGGGTGTAAGAAACTCAGCAAATGTTTGTTGAGTGAGTGTGTGATGGCGGGGGTTTGGATGAGAGGAGGGGACAGACCTGGGAGTCTTCAAGAGCCACCTGCTGAATTGCGGGAAGGGCAAAGGAGTTGAGGCATTTCGAGGGAGAGGAGGGACGTGAGGGGAGGAGTTAGGGAGCTGGAGCATTCAGGGAGGGAAAAGCTGGGGGCTGTAAGACATTCAGTCAGTGATGGGGACAGACCCCGGCAAGTCCGGTCCCTTGGGATGGAGGTGGGGGGAGCAGCAAGTGGCTGAGCCCTCCCCCTACACACACCCCTATCCCGATGGGCCCATTAACACTGTTAATTGCAGCGGTTCAGTCTGACCTGGGCTGATCCTGTGAGAGGGAAAATGAAGGAATTAGCAAAAATGACAGGGGAAAATTGCGACAATTAGCAGGCCGCATTGTTCCCGCCTGTCACCCGGCTGCGTCTCGGGGGAGGGGTCCCCATCAATTCCCCCCGCCCCCCGCGTTATTGTTCCTTGAGCTCAGGCGGGGGTGGGAAAGAGTGTGAACAGCCGGGAGGATAGGGGGGGGAGTTTGCTCACGGGGGAGGCGGGGCCTAGACACGCGGGGGGCGGGGCTCCGGGGTGGCGTCCGGATTGGGCGAGAAGGGGCGGGTTTCGCCACCGGGTGTTCGATGCTCGGGAAATAACAATAGTAATCACACTGTTAATGCCGATCGGGCTGTGTGTTTCCCGGCACCTGAGGCGCGCCAGGCCCTTTCTGTTCAGCCAACTGAAAGCCCGACCAGCCCAGAGCTCAGCGCTTTTAGCAAGTCCACTTGACAGAGAAGGAAACTGAGGCACAGAGAGGGGAAGGGGCTGGTCCCCGGCCACGCAGCCGGGGAGGGACAGCCCTGGGGCTTGACGCGGGTCCTGAGCCCTCAGCCCTGCAGGAGCCAGGTGCTCCGGGACGCTCCAGGTCACAGAATCCATGCCCCAAAGCCCTTCTCTGCAGGATGGGGGGGACCTCAGTAGCGAAAGGTCCACCCCCAGCTTGAATGTCTAGAGCCCTCTGCTCCCGCCCGTGGGGGCTGGACGGGGCTCCCACGTGTCTTTGCCCCTTTTTGATTTGCCGCTGCCTTTCCCCGTTGCTCTCTCCCTCCGTCCACGTTTCCACCACCTTAGTCTCACTTTGCCCCTATCCCTGTCTCGGTTTCTCTGTGTCTATATGAATATCTCTCTTAAAAAATTTTTTTTGAAGTAAAATTTACATAATGAAATTCATTTTATTTTTTAAAGATTTATTTTTATTTATTTATGCAAACAAGAACTGGGGTACAGGCCAGAGGTGTGGGGACTGAGAGGATTCCCCAGAGACAGAGCGGGGAGCAGAACAGGCGGATGGACTGAAACACACTGCTGAGGGGAGCGGTCGGGAGACAGGAGAGGTCTGCCGCGCCATGTGGGTAGCTCCCTGACTGGGGACCCAACTCATGCTGCAGTGGCTGCGGACAGCTTCATAGTGCTGAGACACCCCCAGGGACACCCTGAAATTCATCTTAGAGTCTACAACTGGGCGACATTTGTTCCATTCCCAGTGTTGTACAATCATCCGTTCTATCTAGTTCCAGAACATTTTCATCACCCCCCCAAAAAAAAGCCCATAACAAGGAGCAGTCACCCCCATTCCTCCTCCCCAGGCCCTGGCAACTACCAATCTGCCTTTTGTCTCTATGGATTTGCCTGTTCGAGACGTTTCCTATAAATGGGCACATACTTCTTGTGGCTTCTTGTGTCTGCTGCTTAGCATAGTATCTGCAAGGTTCATCCATGTGGTAGCTCGTGTTGGTGCTTCAAACTTGTCGCGTAGTCTACTTGGTGACACCGTGGGCAGACCACATTCTGTTCCTATTCCTCAGCTTAGGGGCATTGGGGTTTTGCATTACTTGCTTATTAGGGAAACTGCTGCTGTGAATGTTCACATATAATCATTTGTTCGAGCATCTGTTCCTTGGGGCATGTGACTGGCGGTGGAGTTCCTGGATCATATAAGTCCGTGTTTAACTGGTGGGGGGGAATCTGAATCACCAAACCGTGCTGCACGGTCACTGCACCATTGCCTATTCCCGCCAGCAACATGTGAAGATGCCAATTTCTCCACATCTTCGCCAACCCTTCCTTCCGCTTTTTTTTCCCCAATCCTAATGGGTGCAAAATAGTCTCTTATTGTGGTTTTGATTTGCATTTTGCTAATGACTAATGATGTTGTGCATCTTTTCATGTATTTATCGCCCATTTGTAGCTTTTCTTTGGAGAAATGTCTGCACAAATCCTTTGCCCCCTTTGAAATCGGGTTGTTTGTCCTTTGGTGGATGAGCTGTCACGTCTTTCTTCCTTCCTGTTTCTGTTCATCTGTTTGTCTCTCTGTGTCTTTGTCTTTCTGTCAACATCTGCTTCTCTCTGGCTCTGTCCATCTGTCTGTCTCTCCCCTTCAGTCCCCTGTCTGCCCCCTTCTCATCCCATCTAAGTGGAATCAGACCTTACTCCATTCCTCACACCACATGTTGAGGTCCTCACAGCACTGGCCACACATGTCAGTTCTCCATGTTGTTTCTCTGCCCTGACCTGAGTGCTTCATGGGGACGGGACCAGACTGTACAGGTCACGTCTGTGTCCTTAGCACCTGTCAGCACAGTTGATACTTAGGGTGCATTTGTTCAATGAGTGAATGACTGAATCCCTCTTCTGTATCCCCTGGTTTCTCTGTCTCTGTGTGTCTCAGTCCCTCTGTCTGTCCCACCCAGCTGTTCTCTCCACACTTGTCCACACCCCATAAAGTGCAGGACCCACAATGCCCCAAGACAGCTATAAGCCTGGGAGGAACATAGGACAAGTCTGTCTCCCCGGAGGGCTGCCCATAGGGCCAGGGGTCAGCCAGACCAGCAGGCCCTGGCCTTACCCCTCCCTCTGCCCCCAGCCCCTGGTCGCCGGGGCGCAGTGGCGCTGGTCTCAGAAGTCTTCGAACAGCACCTGGGAGGACACATCTTGCAGGTGAGGCCCTTTTCCTGGCTGCTGCTCCTTGCTGCCACCTGCTGCCCCCTCCAGAGAACAGCAGACGGGTTCCTCTCCAGCAACCAGCCCGTGGGGAGCGTCAGGACCTGGAGGCCAACAGCTCTGACTCCCCCTCCTACCTGCTCCTTCTAAGGGCCACCAAAGCCCCCGACCCCAAAATAATCCATCACTGCAAGTTTCAGAACCTCTTACTACTTGCAAGCTGGAGAGACCAATACCAAGCCCCTCTCCCCCTCCATCTCTCCCCACTGTAGTCCTTGGATGGCTTCGTGTTTGCCTTGAACCAGGAAGGGAAATTCCTCTACATCTCAGAGACGGTCTCCATCTACCTGGGTCTCTCACAGGTAAGGAGGCCACAGCAGGGTGTCTGGACTGACTCGGCTGCCATCTCCCCTGCTGGCCTACACATGCCCTTTCTCTCTCCTGGCCTCAATAGCCCAGCGAAGGGGTGGTGAAAAGACTGGACCTCTGGTTCCCAAAATGTGTTCCTTGGACCCCCACATGGCACCCTACATGGCTCATTCTCACAGGCAGAGGAGGGTAACTAAAGTAACAGGTCAATTTGAAAAAAACAAAATTAGCAGAAAGATCCGTTTGCCACTGATTGGTTGCCAGATGCATCTTTTTTTTTTTTATAATTTTTTTTAAGTTTTTTTTTAAAGAGGCATGTATTTTTATTTATTTATGATTTATTTATTTGTTTGTTTGTTTGTTTGTTTTGTTTATACATGCACTGGGTACAGTCAGAAGCGCGGGAGGGTGAGAGAATTCACCAGAGCCAGAGCGGGGAGCAGAGCAGGCAGAAGGACCGGAGGTGCACTGCTGAGGGGAGCAGCGGGCGGCAGGAGAGGTCTGCGCGCCATGTGGGACCCTCCTCCGGTGGCCGGGGAGCAGCCGGGGATCGAACCGGAGCCGCAGAGGTCGCGGGCAGCTTCACAACCCAGCGCTCAACCGCTGCGCCACCGGGGAGGCCCTGCCAGATGCATCTTATTTACCAAATGTATTTATTCTCAGCAATTTTAAAGATTTGCAGCGACATGTTTTGGGAGATCTTTGGATTTTGCCAGCTTTGGGAGATTTTCTGTGCATTCTAGGGGACTGGCTGGCATTTTTGTCTTTATTTCAGCCTGCTGGGCCCCAGTTCCTGAAGCTGGACACCCATAGGTAAAAGGAAGGCAGGGTGAAGTCACAATAACCCCAGTACCTGGTGACTACTTGTGGCATCTGAGGCTCTGCCAATCTATTCAATCCATATTGCTATCAACTTTGAGCATTTTCACAATGATTTTTAACAATGGCAAACTTGGAAAATATGGTGTGTTGGTATTTGGACTTATGAACAGTTTTTGTGTTTTTTTTTTTTAAAGATTTATTTATTTATACATGCACTGGGTACAGTCAGAAGCACGGGAGGGTGAAAGAATTCACCAGAGCCAGAGTGGGGAACAGAACAGGCAGAGGACTGAAGTACACTGCTGAGGGGAGCAGCGGGCACGGCAGGAGAGGTCTGTGCGCCATGTGGGACCCTCGCCAGTGGCCGGGGATCGAACCGGTGCTGCAGATGCTGTGGGCAGCTTCACAGCCCAGCGCTCAACCGCTGCGCCACCAGGGGAGGCCCAGTTTTTTTGTTTTTTGTTTTTTTTTTTGCTGCTCCATGTGGATCACCTCCCTGGCCAGCCAGGGATCAAACTTGTGCTGTGGTGGCTGGCGGTAGCTTGATAGCGCTGTCTTTAACCCCTGCGATACCAGGGAGGCCTCATTTTGTGAGCAGCTTTTGAGGGAGATTCTCTGCAGGGAAAAAGCTTGAAATAAGGAGAATAGGGACAAGAGGAAGCGAGGGAGGAAGGATGCTGGAAAAACTTGCAGCTGGTGTGCACGAGGCCTTGGAGAGGGAGGGACTTCATGGGGATGAGGGACTAAGGGAAGCCTGTGATCCCAAGTAAAGTGGGAGCCATGGGAGGTTGATGAGAGGAGGAGGGACGTGGTCAGAGAGGCTTGTGGAAGGCATGAGTGGGGACTGAAAGCAAGAAGACAGAGCATGCTAGGGCAGGACACAGTGGGGAGGAGATGGAGGACCTGGACCAGGGGAAGCTTGGAGAGAGGGACTCGAGCAAGAGAGTTGAATTGAAGAGGAGAATTGAATGTAAAAGTCTGATTAAACGGTAACTCTTTAAAGACTTTGAAAACCACTCCACGCCTTGTGTCTTGAGTCCTATTCCTTCTGGGACAGACTGTGATTCGTTTTGGGGCACAGTTTGCTGCATGGGGGTGGGCGTGAGTAAGGAGCAGCTGGATAAACCCAGGCTAAGACCCTGCACAGCTCCTTATGGAACAGGCAAGGGGAGGAAATCCTCAAAAATCGCTGGGTTTGTACGGGGGAGGGCGGCAATGGGTAGAGTCTAAGTCTGTACCCTCCTTTATTATTTTTTTAAAGATTTATTTATTCATGCATACAAGAGCTGGGGTACCAGCCAGAGATGCAGGGGAGTGAGAGGATCCACTAGAGACAGAGCGGGGAACAGAACAGGCAGACTGACTGAAATACACTGCTGAGGGGAGCAGCAGGCGAGACAGGAGAGGTCTGCTGCACCATGGTTGTTGTTCCCTGGCTGGCCAGGGGGTCGAACCCGTGCTGCAGAGGCTGCGGACTGCTTCACAGTGCGGTGCTTAACCCCTTGCGCCACCAGGGAGGCCCTGTACTCGTCTTTAAAAAGGTTGAAAAACTCTTTTCTTCCTAACAAAAGCACAAGACCGGCACGAACCCCATCTGAAACGAGGGGAGTGAGCCCGAGGCCGAGCGGGAGGGCGGGCGGGGGACTGCGCGCGCACCTCACCCGCCCCCTGCATTCCCCTCCGCGGCCGGCAGGTGGAGCTGACGGGCAGCAGCGTCTTCGACTACATCCATCCCGGGGACCACTCCGAGGTGCTGGAGCAACTGGGGTTGCGCGCCCCCATGCCCGGTCCCCCCACCCCGCCCTCCGTACCCTCCTCTTCCTCTTCTTCCTCCTCCTCGCTGGCGGATACCCCTGAGATCGGTAATTCCGAGGGCCCCCGAAGAGTGAGACCTGAGTTAGCTCCGGGGACCCTCATCTTAGTAGTGTGCAAAGCTCGGTTTTTTTTTAAATGAACCCGAGTCTAAACTGAGGCTGCGAGACTGGGCTCCCCAAGATTTCCTAAGCGCCCTAAGATTGCCTGTCCCCCAAGATTTGAGTTTTAGAAAGACCCCTCTGACTGCTGAGCAGAGATGTCTGGGTGTGACAGATGCAAACGGGCTTCCTGGGCATTTGCTTGTGCTGCGCCTTTAAGTATATAGTTTCCGAATCCTAAGCACAGCCCCGCAGAGCACAGACTGCGAACTATCTCCATTTTCCAGAGGAAGATAATGAGGCACAGCCCAGAGAAGTTAAGTTAATGGCCCTGGCCACACAGCTGTAAGCAGTTGCCTTGGAGTCCAGGCTTGCCTGGCAGCAGGATCTGTGCCTCTAACCTTCTTTCCAATGGAAAATTCCACTCCATGTTGGAGAGAGAGGGTGCTGGAGGGCACCCTCAACGTGCCTTTTCTCTCCGAGATGTCTGGGGACTCGGAGGTTAGCTTTCCTATAAATAGGATTTGCTTATATGGGGCTTGCTAAACACCAGACGCATCTGTCAGGAGTGTGATGTGCTGGCACCTCAGTCAGGGCACTGGGTCCCCTGAGAGTGAGTGTGAGGTTTAGAGAATAATGGTATCATGAATGTTACTTGTATACCCTGAGCCCTGTGCTGGGCAGGGCTGGGGACACAGTAGTGACAACAGTTCCACCTTCCCAGCCCTTAGTGCAGTGGGGGGAAAGTCCCGGGGCACAGTGGCCACCAGAGTGGGCAGGGCTGGGATGGAGGCACTTGATCCTGCCTAGGGGTCAGGGAAGGAGGGCTTCCTGGAAGAGGAGGCATCTGCCCTGAGACCTGCAGAATGGAGCTAGTGGTGCTGTCAGCGGGAGGCAATCCATGCCCAAGTTTTAGGCCATGATCAGGAGCTGGGCTCTCTCCGAGGGCGTAGGGAGCCACAGCAGGTGCCGAGCCTGCAGTCAGATCTGCGCTTCAGTAAGACCCAGCTGGCCACTGCCTGGAGGAGAGGTTAGTGTAGACCTCAGTGAACATTAGAACTGTTGGGTGTGACCGAGTAGCCCATTCTGGGCCCATTCTGGCTGGATATGCAGGGGGCAGGGGTGGCCTGTGTGTTTCCCCGACAGGACCCCTGAACCTTCCTTCACTCTCCACCCCAGAGGCTAGCCCCACAGAAGCGCCCCCCTCCTCCCGCGGCCAGGAGCGCTCCTTCTTCGTCCGCATGAAGTCCACCCTCACCAAGAGGGGGCTGCACGTCAAAGCCTCAGGGTACAAGGTGGGTGGGTGCGAGCTCTCTGGCCCCAGTGTCCAACTCCCTGTTCCCTGGCTACTGCACGGGAGAGTGCCTGCATTGCTGTAGGGGTGTCCCCTGCTGAGGGTGACTGAGGGAGCCCTGCCTGGGAACTGGGGTCCACACTGCACCCCACCTGTGGGTGGTAGCTGGAGCCAGGATCAATCAGAAGGAGGGGGTTAGGGTCCTCCCACCCTATTGGGGCCCTTGCGCCACCTCCAGCCACACCCACCACCTGCAGGTCATCCACGTGACTGGTCGCCTGCGGGCCCGTGCGCTGGGCCTGGTGGCCCTTGGCCACACGCTGCCTCCGGCCCCACTGGCTGAGCTGCCCCTCCACGGCCACATGATCGTCTTTCGTCTCAGCCTGAGTCTCACCATCCTTGCTTGTGAGAGCAGGTACCGGGGTTGGGGGCCGAGGCGGGCAGGCGGTGGAGGGGTAAGGGTGACTAGAAGGAGGAGCAAGGACCAGAGGCCAGCATCGGGGCGGGCCTGCTGGGCCAGGGCCTGGAGACCCCGAGGAGCTCTGCTAGATTTGGAAACCTCAGCCCTCCATTCGGGGCTCCCTCCTGCAGAGCTCTGCCCTCCTGGGTCCCATTTCTTTCTAGATCTCTCTGGTCCTCATCTCTCATCCATGCCTTCTGCACCATGCAGTGGGGGCAAATTAGCTATTGAAAAGCTCCCTCTGAGGGCCTCCAGAGCTGGCCGGCGCAGGATGGGGAGTGCCATCTGCCCGACGCCCAAAGCCACCCATTTTACAGATGGGAAAATGGAGGCCCAGAACATTCCAGGGCTTGAACCTTAGGAGATTCTGAAGCCAACCCTGCCTCTTCTCCCCTACTCCGTGGCCTTGGACCCCTTCTCTTTCTCCCTCTATTGCCCCATGTCCTCAGAGTAAGCGACCACATGGACCTGGGGCCCTCGGAGCTGGTGGGCCGCAGCTGCTACCAGTTTGTCCACGGACAGGATGCAGCCAGGATTCGCCAAAGCCACCTGGACCGTGAGAGCCCCAGACCTGAGTACCCCCGGGGCCTGCTCCCCAAAGTCCTTCCTCAGGGCTGACCATGGTCCCTCCTGCTGCTGCTAACCCCCAGGGCTCCACTCCGCACAGGAAAAGCAGCAAGGACACCTGAGCAATGACTCAGATGTGGGAGGGGGGTGCTGGGCCTATGTGGCCCACCTTAACAGCCCAGGGCCCTCAGTGCCAGGTGACTTCTCGGCCCTTCTGATTCTGGCTCTGTCTCCCTGTCTGTGCCTTTGCCCTTCCCTGTCCTCCGCCCGCCCCCTGCTCATCCTCTGTCACCGCATCTCTCTGTCCCCATCTACCTCTATCCCTGTCCTGTCTCTCTGATGGTCTCGACCCATCCCCACCTCCTCTGGGTGCCTGGGCTGGGCCCAGTGCTGGACAAGGGTCAGGTGGTGACCGGTTACTACCGCTGGCTGCAGCGCGCTGGAGGCTTTGTGTGGCTTCAGTCCGTGGCCACCGTGGCTGTGAGCGGGAAGAGCCCTGGGGAGCGTCACGTGCTCTGGGTCAGCTACGTGCTCAGGTGAGGGCTGTACCCACCCTTCCCATGGGGGGGAGGGGCTTGGTACCCCTTCCAGGAGATTCAGAATTTTTTTTTAAGATTTAATTTATGCATTCAAGAGCCGGGATACAGGCCAGAGATGTGGGGGGTGAGAGGATTCACCAGAGACAGAGTGGGGAACAGAACAGGAGGATTGACTGAGGTACACTGCTGAGGGGAAAGCGGGCCAGTCAGGAGAGGTCTGCTGCGTCATGTGGGTAGCTCCCTGGCCAGGGATCGAACTCCTGCTGTAGTGGCTGCGAATAGCTTCATGGGTTGCATCTTAACCCCTTGTGCTACCAGGGAGACCCAGATTCAGGATTCTTATCAGTCTTGGGGCAGGAGCTTTTCGGGGAAAGTTCTAGAAGTGAAAACAGAACCCCACTGGGGGGCAAGACCTTGGTGGCAGGAGCCACCTCAGCAGTGGAGCAATTCTGGTTTCCCACCCTGCTGCTCCACTGTACACCCCCATTGTTACACTCGGTCCCACTGAGGCTGGTTCTGACTGTGGTTCCTCAGAGCCCTCCAACTCATGAGCCTGCCCTGTGGTCAGGGCAGGGTGGGTCTGTGCAGGTGCCAAATTCCTTTTTATATTTGGTGCCTGGATCATGGAATGGACCAATCAGGTGCAAGCTATGAGCTGATTGGTGCTAAATGGCCCAATCAGCCATAACATTGAAAATGGTCCAATCAGGTTTGAAGGTGGGGGACCCTGAAAGAGGGTAAAAGGCAGGGCAAGCTGGTGCTGGGGGACGCTGTTCCTGACTTGTAAAGAAAGAGGGGTGGGTGGAGTGCTGTTCCTGGCCTCGAAAGAAGCATCCAGCAACCAAGTGGTTTTGGGAAAGGCTAGGGAAGCAGCTGGGGTCATCTCCATTTGGAGGCTACAGAACACCCAGACTCGAGGAAGCTGTCCTTTTCGTAGGCCCTAGTTGTAATAGCGGAAATAGGCAAATATTAGAGCAGGATCAAAAGTGCCTGTTAGTAGGTTAGGACAGGGGATCCCAAAACTGAGAAGTTTTGGTAAGATCCTGGAAGTTCAAAGGGCCAATGAAGATCCTTCAGAGCTCTCCCGCCTGTGACTATGCAGGCGTTTCTTTTCACAAATCCTCTCCCTTTGCAAACAGGAGCTGCAGCTCTCCTGCCCACCTGTGACTGTGCAGGTGCCTTTTTCTCCTTTTCCTAATAAACCTGTCCTTTTAAAATGTAAAAAAAAAAAATCCTTCTGAATATTTAGAAAGAACTATGCAGGCAGGTAGCACTCCGTCTGCCCACCTGTGACTATGCAGGTGCTTCTTCTCACCAACTCTCTCCCTCTGCGGGACAGAAGCCATTGCCTGCCCGTGACCCACACCTGCCGGGGCTTCTCTTCACTGACCTCCTTAAGCAGAGGCCGCTCTCCTCAAGGCCGCCCGCCTGCAACCACATGGGCCTCTCTTAGCAAACCTGTCCTTTTCGGGGCAGCTCTTCCTGCCGGCTTGTGTCTATGCAAGTGTCCTTTATTCTTCTGTCCCTTTCCCTAATAAACCTGCCCTTTAAATATATATATAAAAAAAAACAACTATGCAGGCTTATAGCAGATATCTAGGTGTGAATTCTGATGCTCCAGAAAATGCTACAATGGTTAACGTGGCATTCATTCCACCGAATACTCAGATACAAGAACGAAATTGACTAAATTGATGGTGCTATGGAAACAATTCCTTCGCAGTTGGCCGACTGAGCCTTTAGGGTATATAACAGAAGAGAGGAAAGAAGACCTAGGCCTGGGCTGGTCTTTGGAGAAAGGGGAGATGGGACTGGGCTGAGAAGAAAGAGGGGCGGGACAGAAAGAGGACCGCTAAGGAATGAACAGTGTGCTTTCTGCAGAGACGAAGGCCGTGGAAAAGCAGGAGTCCTAGGTTAGGAACAAGAAGAGGGGGGAAGGTCTGAAGGTGGAAAGGAAGGAAAAGCGGCTCCTGAAAGCACAGAGTGGGGATCCGTGTAAACATCGAGAGACCGAAAATAGGCAAAGGAGAAATGAAGGACCTACGAGGGAAGAGAAAAGGCAAATGGTTGATCAGAAGGGTGGTTCCTTTGAAGAATGGAGGGCCCCGGGGTTCCACCGCAAGAACCGTCATGGTAGCAGCCCGAGGGGGTGGTTTGATAGACTTCTTAGTTGGTACTGAGCAACCGATTCAGTTTTTTTAAGATTGATTTATGCATACAAGAGCTGGGGGACAGGCCAGAGGTGCCGGAAGTGAAAGGATCCACCAGAGTCAGAGTGGGGAACAAAACAGGCAGACTCACTGCGATACACTGCTGAGAGGAGCAGCAGGGAGACAGGAGAGGTCTGCTGCACCCTGTGGGTTGCTCCCTGGCTGGCCGGGGATCGAACTTGTGCGCAATGGTGCTGCAATGGCTGCGATAGCTAGCGCCACCAGGGAGCCCCTGATTCAGTTCTAAATTTGAAGTTAGCACGACTCAGTAAGAAAGCTGAACCTGACCCAGGGGAGGCGGGGAGGCCACGAAAAGCCCTCCTGTAGCCATGAAAGTGCCAGTTTGGTGGCAAAAACGTAGTATAGTTTCCTTCACACAGAAAAAATGTCCAATTCCACTCCTTAGTCGTAATCTCCTTAGTAAATTGAAGGCACAGATTGTTCCCCCCCCCCCCAGGAACAGAGGGTGCACTTACGGACACCCCAGAACATGCCTTCCTTTATCAAACGCTACTCAGGCTGCTCCACCAAGTGGTGAAGGGGGCCTCCTGAGATCTGTAGCAGGGGAAAGGAGTGGTTTGAGCCGATGGGACTCCGTAAAAACTGTAAAGAACTGAATTGTAAAGCCTGAATTGGTGGAAGGGAGCAAGACTCCAAGGAAAACAGGTTTTGAGGGGAATTCAACTGGGCTTACAACACTCCTACATTCGGGTAAATAAACCCCACACAAGTGAGTCTCATTTGTGAAAGATCTGAGGGCAATTAATGACAATGTAGAAGAAATAAGTTCAGCTGTGCCAGACCTTGACCCCCATGTCGGCTGGCATGTCTGGGGGATGGATTGCTTCTCTATATTGGACTTGAAGGAGGCTTTTTTTCTGCTCAGAAACTGTTTGCTTCAGAGTGGCAGGACCTAGTTTCTAAATGAACGTCGCAACAGTGCTGGCCTTGCTTCTGCAAGGATTTCAGAATTCTCCAACTACTTGGGGGGAGATACTATCCAAGGGTCTTCAAAGCTCCAGCTGAAACAGGGCATCCCTTGCCATATGTGGGCAGCCTACCGACTGCCAGGCTGTCTGGAGCACATCAGCTTGGTTTTGAAGCACCTGGCAGAATGTAGCTAAAAGGCGTCACCACAGAAGCCCCCTCTGTGGGAGGGAAAAGTAGCGAGTCTGGGGTCTGAAATTGAGAAGGGCAAAGGAGCTTCAGCACTGAGAGGAAACAGGTGGCTTCTGCTCGAGGTTCCCAGCAGTCAGACACAGCTGCGTGGATTTTTGAAAGGCTGCGTTTTATAGAATTTTTGATTCTTGGAAGGCTGTGTTTCGTTGGATCCCCAACTTGGCACATACAGCTAAATCTCTTTTTGAAACCCTCAGAGGCCCAGACTCTGAACAAAGGTGATGGACTCCCGAATGCCAGCGGGCCTTTGAGGAAATCAAGATTAAGTTGGCTGAAGCACCAGCACTGGGCTGCCAGGCCTTTCAGCTTTATGAGTGACAAGGAGCTGGACTAGGGGTGCTGCTCCAATTACTGGGACCAGAAATGCCACCCACTGCATCTGTCCAAACCCTTAGACCACACTAAGGGGCGGCCTCCTGTCTGCGGCTGTGGCTGCACGAAGCAAAAAAGCTTCCTGTGGGTCAGCCCATTACTGTGGATGCACCACCCAAGTTTTGACATTTTGAACAGAAGGGTGGATTTGGCTGATCACTAGGCGCCCCACTACTCCCAATGTAAAGGGTTTGAAAATGTGTAGGGGAGCAGGGGGGACAGGGAGAGCAGAGCCCCGCGTTGGGGTAACTGGCTGTGTGACAACATTCAGGGTGTCAGGGCAGGTTCCGTGCGGCCAGGTTGAGGGTCTGGACTTGATTCTGGGGCACTAGGGAGTCGTGGCAGGCTTTACAGCTGGAGAGGGCTGCAGTCAGATCAGCTTTTTGGAAAGACGACTCTGGCTGCCGTGAAATAGAAAGACTAAGAGACAAGACAGGGCTGGGTGACCAGGAGGAGGCTGGGGCGGGTCCCAGGTCAGGCTGGGTGGGGGAGGGGAGGCCATCTGGTTTTGCTGGGTGGGCCTGAATCTGGGCCCCTGAATGCTGGGGGCGGCAGTTTGGAAGATGCTACAGTCAGATGAGCTTGAGAGGTCCTGGAGACTCAGGTCCCACCTCAGAGACAGGGCCAAGCTAGGCTCGAAGCCATTTTGGAGTTCACGGATCCGGGGATACGCCCTCAGTGCCTCAGGGTGGGGATACTGGGTGAGCTTGCTTACAGAGGGGGAGGGAAGGCCTGCATCATGAGATTTTGAAGGCTACACTTCCCACTGGGGGGTAGGGGGGAATCCACCCTCTGGCTCCCAACCCCATCCGTCTCGCCCCCCAGCCAAGCCGAGGGTGGCCAAACACCTCTGGACGCCTTCCAGCTTCCAGCGAGTGTGACCTGCGAGGATGTGTCCAGCCCAGAGCCAGAGCCCACAGGTGAGCCCCGATCAGCCCTTCCCTGCAACCAGGGGAGGCTGAGGGCCCCTGGGCCGGTCTGCCCAGTCCTGAGGTCACCAGCCATGCGGGGCAACTTACGCGCCAGTGGAAACATCAGTTCTGCAGTTGCATACACCAAGGTCCCGTGGGGCCGTGGCCAGTGGCTCCTGCACGGGAAACTTCTCGTCATCAAGGAAAGTGCTAATGGGCAGCTGGGTCTGAGCTGTGGCTTCTCAGTCCACTCTACTGACAATCAGGGCCAGGCCGGGCCTTGCATGGTGGGCCGTCACAGCCACTGGGGGGTGTTGAGCAGCATCCCCAACCTGTACCCACTAGAAGCCGGGCTCCCCGCTTGTGACAACCACGGAGTCTCCATGTCCCCAGGGAGAACCACCCCAGCTGGCGCCGTGGGTCCCGCCCCTGAGCCCAGCCCCATCCCACAGACAGGGGCCTGAGGGCAGGCGGGTCTTTCTCTTCCAGAGCTAGAGCCTCCAGTGGAAGGGGAGCAGGCTGCGCCCCCAGACAAGGACGAGGCCCAGGGCAAATGCATCAAAACAGAACCCAGGCCAGGAGACACTAAGAACGCGGAGGACAGTGAGGACGAGGAGCCCGCGCGCCCCCCACGCCCGGAGTTCACTTCCGTCATCCGGGCGGGCGCCCTGAAGCAGGACCTGGTGCGGCCATGGGGCCTGGCGCCTCCAGGGGACCCCCCACATTCCCTCCTCCACGCGGGCTTCCTGCCCCCCGTTGTGCGGGGCCTGTGCACCCCCGGCGCCATCCGGTACGGCCCCGCGGAGCTGGGGCTCATGTACCCCCACTTGCAGAGGCTGGGCCCGGGCCCCACGCTGCCTGAGGCTTTCTACCCCACCCTGGGTCTGCCATACCCGGGCCCCACCGGCAGCAGGGCGCAGCGAAAGGGGGACTTCCGCTGAGCCGGGACAGCGCCCCCAGAGCCGGGCCTGGAGGACGGGTGGGGAGGGGGACAGGGCTCTCGCCAGCTGGCGCTCCGAGAATAAAGGGCCTGCTCCCCACTCTGGCTCGGTCTGTGGGCACCCTGGGCCTCCTCTCGCCTCTCCCCACTCCCCGGTTCTCTCCACCCCCCTCCACCTCCCTGCGCTCCGTCCCCGCCAGCCCAGCCTTCCCGCAGCAGGAACGACCACGCAGACCAGCGGGCGAGGGAAGGCCGAGGTTTAATGGCCCCGCGCCCCGGGCCGCCCGGCGCCCCGCCCTTCCCCGCGGCCCCGCTGCTCACTCGGGCGGAGGCCGCCCCGCCTCGTCCCGGCCGTCGGCGGCGGCCGTCCCGTCGTCCTCGGGCACCAGCTCCACGTCCAGCTCCAGCTGGCCCATGTAGAGGCCCACGGCGCAGGCCCACAGCAGCCCGGCGGCCAGCACGGCCCCCACGCCCGCGGCCGCGCCCCCCAGCGAGAGCTGCATGGGCCCCCGCAGCGCCGCCAGGCCCACCACGTAGGAGGCGCCGCCCCACACCACGCACAGGCCGCCCAGCAGGAAGAAGCCTGTGGGAGAGCACGGAGGCCGGTCAGCGGAGGGCGCCGCGGCCCAGGCGGAGAAGGCCGGGGGCGGGCAGCCAGATCCGCGGAGCCGGCGGCTCGGGGAACCCAGGGGGCGCTGGGGGGGGGCGTGGGGCAAACTCAAGGGCAAGGAAGGGGTCAGGGTATTAGGCAGGGGCAGGGGCATTCTAGAGGACAGCACGGACCAAGAAGGTATGGGGGTGTCCAGGATTTGGACATGGAGTCTGGGGGTTCAGGATCAGAGGGGGAGCTGGGTGGAAGCACAGACAGGGCTGGAGGGCAAGAGGCTGGGCCCAGGACTCTCAGCCACGACCTGGGCCACCAGTGAGGGTGAAGCATCTGCCGGTGGGAGCCGGTGGTGGACGGGCTGGAGGGAGCCCACCCTGACCTGGGAGGGCGGGGGCTCTACATCCCCCGTGACCCGGAAGGGGCGAGAATGGGGGTCTCCACTCACCATAGGCGGCTTCCCGACCCATGTCACTCTGCATGAAGGAGATGACCCCGATGCCAGAGGCCAGGAGCCCATTGCGGAACCAGGAGAGGAAGGCTGGAGGGAGAGGGAAATCATCAGCCTCACCCACCCCTTGGCCCAGACAAACTCAGGGGCTTCTCACCCTAACCCGCCCCAAATCCAATCTCTTCCCTGGAGGCCCCTTCCTAATCCTCTCCGACCTACCCCAAACCCTCTCCATCTCTCCCCAAACTCTGCACTGTCAGACTCTAGACAGTGCGCAGGACTGGGGCAGAAGCTAGGACCCGAGTACAGAACTGAAGCCTGAGGCCGGAAAGACCCCAAGACCATGCTGGACAGCCCCTCCCATGCGCATCCCCACAGGTCACCCCCTCGCTTCATTCAGCCCTCTGGGGCAACCCCCACCCCTCAGGTCACCTGAAGCACCGCCCTCCGCTACCCTGATGTCGTTCACCCCCCTGCCCCCAATCCCGTCCTGTACCCGGACGGCCCGTCCTCTCCCCTCGGGACCTCTACCTCCCAAGGCTCCCCCAAGCCCTGCAGCCCGGATCCCCGCGCCCTCCAATCAGCCCAGAGCGTTTCTTCTATTGGCTGTTCCCGCCTCCAATCCGGAACTTGCCCCTCTTCGGAGCTCCGCACAGCCGCCGCCTCGTGCAGAGCGCACCCCTCTGCACTCAGACTCGCCCCTGCGACGCGGACCCCTCTTGTAAGCAACTCCCCTCTCCTCAGCACTCTTTGGAGGCCCCTCTCATCCTGCCAGGTTCAGTTCCATAAGGCCGGCGGTCCTAGCCCGATCCCTCCCGCACCCCCCTAACCCCGCATCCCCGCTGCATCCTAAGCCCTGCTCCGAGGCGGACCGCCTGCGCCCGGGCAGCCGGCGCTTCCCTGCGCTCCCTCGGAAGCCCTTCTCCCTCCTGGGCCCGCCCTGTTTGCAGCAGAAGCCCCACCCGTGCCCCACTCGTCACGCGGACGGCCAGGCTGCCCCGAGCCCCCGGGGCCCCCCGGGCCGACCCCAGCCCCTGCCCACGAACCTGTCTCATGAGCCTTCCGGAGGAGCCAGGCGTCCGCGCGATCCAGCTCGGACACGGGGGGCGGCGAAGCCCCGGCGCGGGGGCCGTGGCCGGGGGCAAAGGACCCCCGAGCGCCCCCGCTCCGGGCCGCGGAGGCGGCAGCAGGGGCCCCCGGAAGCGGAGTCGGGCCAGGCGGGCGGCCCGAGCCCACCACCAGCCGCCTCCCATGGTTCGCACTACGGCCGCCGCTCACCGCCCCGCCCCACGGGCCGCCAGTAGGCTAAATTGCACGTCACTCAGAATTCGGGGCTACCCATTGGTCACACGCAAGCCACTTAGACCCGGTGTGCACTGTCCATTGGTCGAGGTTGGCGGTGATTCCCTCCTCTGTCATCAGTGCCGGTACCGCGAGTCCCACTTTGCTTCTACCGCAGGACTACAAATACCAGTGGTCATTGCGGGGCGGGGGGGGGGAAGGGCGGGCGGACCCAAAGACCCGATGTCTGCTGGGACTTGTAGTTTTGGTAATAAGTCCAGCGGCCAGTAAACAAAATGCAACTTGAGGAGTTTAATATAGAACCTTTGCAAAATCTTGAAGATCCCAGAGGCGACAGTAAAACACCCTTAATCCCACCAATGAGTAATTACTGCTAATAATTTGTCATAATCTTGTCCTGTCTTTTTTTTCTATGCAGACGTAAAATGAGATGCTATTTGACAAAATGAAGTTTTCTATATTACAGTAAATCTTGACTCTTTTGCCCCAGCATTGAGTTGAAATGGTTCAAACCGATGCATTTTGCGAATACAGCCCCCACCATTGTCTCCAGGGTGCCCCCATCTAGTGCAGTGATGCAAGAAAAAGCACTAAAAGTCATAAAGATCAGACAGGGGGGAAAGCAAAACTCTCACTATTTGCACATGATGTGGTTACTTATGTAGAAAACTATAAAGAATCGATAAAGCAACGACTAGGACTAATAAGTGAATTTAACAAGTTGAAGGATACAGAATCAATATATAAAATCAAATTTACATTGATACACAAGCAGCAAATAATTGTAAAGTGAGATTAAGAATAATTTCCTATAAATTACACCCCTGAAATGAAAAGTTATATGACTTTTGGACCTCAACTTAAAAATTCAAATAAAACCATTCCCTTACATTCAGTTTGGAAAACAAAAACACTTAGGAATAAATTTAGCAAAAGGGCCTCCCCTGGTGGCTCAAAAGTGCGGCCTCTGCAGCAGAAGTTTGATCCCTGGAGATCCCTAACCCACATGGCCCAGCATACCTCTCCTGCTTCACCCCTGTTCCCCTCAGGTGGGAGCACAGTGATTGAGGAGGAGGTGGGAGGAAAGGAAATCAGAGTGGATGGGAGTGGGGGTCAGGTGGTTGGGGTCACCTTGAAGTCTTGGGACCTTGTTGAAGGCTCCCTGTTTTATTTGCAGTGAGACATGCACCACTGAGAGATTTCAAGCTGGGGTATAGCATCTTCTGTCTGTGTCTTCAGACTACAGGGCTCTGTTGGGTTTAGCAGCCAGAGGAAGCTTTAAAGGAGCATCTGGTGATGTCTGCCCTAGTTTACACCCTCCTGGGAGGAGGGGACAGTCCACAGCTCTCCATTTCCCTCTGGAAACTTAGCTACCAGGCCTCCAGGGCCAGGGCTCTCCTGACCTCTGCTTCTCCCTACTGGGAAAGCTTGGATTCGTGGAGGGGGTTACAGTGGGGAGGGAGTTCAAATGGACTGTAATAGATAGCTTGGTGGCTGGCGATGAAAGTTAAGCATTAAGTGGGATTAAAAAGGAACTGAAAATATTTGAGAGACATTTTTCACATTCTTGGCTGACGAAATGATTTTGCCTGGATGAGAGAGGGGGGAGCAACTGAATGCCAGACTGGGTCAGGGCAGAGAAAACAAACCCTTCTGAAAGACAGATCAGAAGGCTGGCTGGCTGGCTGCACCTGGAGTTGTTACTAGATCAGTGACTGACGAATCATCTGGGAGCTTTAAAAAATTACTTTTGCCAAAGCGGAAAAACATTTCTGAAAAAAAAAATTTTTTTTTAAAGCAAAATCAAATTTTTTCTTTAAGAAGATTTTTAAATATTTATGCATACAAGAGCTGGAGTACAGGCCAGAGGTGCAGGGAGGGTGAGCGGATTCACCAGAGACAGAGTGGGGAGCAGAACAGGCGGATCCACTAGAACACACTGTTGAGGGGAGCACCAGGGGAGACAGGAGAGGTCTGCTGTACCATGTGGGTCAGCTCCCTGGTCGGGTATTGAACTCGTGCTGCAGTGGCTGTGGATAGCTTCATAGTGCTGAGACTTAACCCCTTGGGCCACCAGGGAGGCCCCTCTTTTTTTTTATTCTTTTATACGTATTTTCCCTCTTTGTTCTCCCATCGCTCTGCCCTGCCCAAATATTAGCCAGGTTTCTCTCCTCCCCACTGGCCCTGGACAGCAGTGGGCCCCAAAGACCAACCAGTGCTGCCTGGGGAACCCGCCCCAGCAGTAGCTCCTGAGAGTCCCTTGACCCCAAAAAGACACATTTCCTGCCCACCCCCTCTAGTTACTTAGTTCCCTATTCTCCCCAACTTCCTCTTGCTGTCTCCCATTTTCCCATGACAAGCGATGCCTTTGCTGGTGGATTTTGAAATGCTTGCAGATTTCTCCTGACTGCGAAGGTCTTTTTGAAGAAAGTACCTCCTTTTTTTTCCTTACGATTTATTTTTATTATTTATGCACACAAAAACTGGGATGTAGTCCAGAGGTGTGGGGGGTGAGAGGATTCACTACAGACAGAGCGGGGAGCAGAACAGGCAGACTGACTGAAATACACTGCTGACGGGAGCAGCGGGGGAGACAGGAGAGGTCTGCAGATCAAACTTGTGCTGCAGTGGCTGCCAATAGCTTCATACTGCTGACCCTTGACCCCTTGCACCACCATGAAGGCCCCTGAGATTATTTTTCAGTGTATCTCTTTAGAATATGATGCTAGTTTCAGGTGTCCCACATAATAACTTGACATATACATATAATACTATCATAGTCTAGTTAACACCATTCACCCTGACACATAGGTACAGTTTTTTTCCTTGTTATGAGAACTTTCACTCCCTTTGTCTATATTTAAAAAGAAACAGAAATGTGTGGGGCCTCCCCGGTGGTGCAGCAGTTGAGCGCTGGGTTGCGAAGCTGCCCGCAGCCTCTGCAGCGCCGGTTCGATCCCCGGCCGCCGGGCGAGGGCCCCACATGGCGCGCAGACCTCTCCTGCCGCCCGCTGCTCCCCTCAGCAGTGTACTTCGGTCCTTCTGCCTGCTCTGCTCCCCGCTCTGGCTCTGGTGAATTCTCTCACCTTCCCGTACTTCTGACTGTACCCAGTGCTTTTATAAATAAATAAAAATAAAAATCTTTAAAAAAGTAATAAATAAATAAACTTAAAAAAAAAAAAAAACTAAACCAGAACAAACCCTAGAAATCTGACTGTAGAATGGAGGCCCCCAGAAGGGGAGGTGGCACTACACACAACAGCAGGCCTTGAGGGTTCAATTACACAGGCAGAAATGGAGAAGGTGCTAGAGAGGATTTTAGGAAAAGCTAGTGAAATCAGGAATGTATAATGCCTTTTTTTTGACCAAATAACACACATCACGTTCTCCCCATGCCCACTCACTCTCTTCCTTGTTAGAGTGACTTCAGGGATGTCTTCCAGAAATAGTAGACGTGAATCCAGAGAAGAGAGCGTGGGAGGAAGGTTGCAAGCACTGTGTGGGTGAGGGAACAAGGTCTTCCCATGGGATTCTGGGTAATACTTATTTTCTTTTTCTTTTTTTGTTTTTTAATAGAGGCATGTTTTATTTGTTTGTTTGTTTGTTTGTTTATACAAGCACTGGGTACAGTCAGAAGCGCGGGAGGGTGAGAGAATTCACCAGAGCCAGAGCGGGGAGCAGAGCAGGCAGAAGGACCGAAGTACACTGCTGAGGGGAGCAGCGGGCGGCAGGAGAGGTCTGTGCGCCATGTGGGACCCTCCTCAGGTGGCCGGGGAGCAGCCGGGGATCGAACCGGCGCCGCAGAGGTCGCGGGCAGCTTCGCAACCCAGCGCTCAACCACTGCGCCACCGGGGAGGCCCGTAATACTTATTTTCTTTCCACTTTTTTTGGGGGGGCAGGGGCACAGTTCTCCAAAAGATTTGACCCTTATGATTGTTTTTTTTTTTGGTTTGTTTGTTTCCTTATGTTGTTTTATAACCAGGAAGGAAAAGAGAAGACATGTCATTTGAGGTTTCTCCGCAGCTTTATCAGATGTCAGTTGACAGTGTTGCGTAAGTAACTGTATGGCAAGGTCAGGGGCCTGTCTGCTCAGGGGTTACCATATTTTGGCCTGTGTGGGGAGAACATTTACTATTTACCCTCGCAGCGACTTTCAAGTACAGGAGCTGGTGTTGCTAACTCTAGTCACCCCCGTGTGTTAGGGTCCCCAAATTTATTCATCTCTAACTGGAAGTAAGGTGAAACTTAAAAATGTACACTCTTTGGCTCTTCTCACTCAGCCCAAGCGTGCTGGCTTTGCTCGTTTTTATTCCAGATTCTGTACCACCAGGAATTAAGCCAACGCACTTGAAATAGAAAGAGAGGAAGACGCTTCCGTTTCTGCTCCCATGCTCGGCTAAGGAGGCTAAGGCTGCAATATCTCAAGGGCCTCCCGTCTGTCCAGGTGGGCCATAGGGAAGATGGCCCTATGGCCATCTTAGGGGTTCACTTGAACTTAGGGGTTCACTTGAACTTTCCCAATGCTGAAACTGCCCCATCAACATTTTTTTTTTAAGATTTATTTATGCATACAAGACCTGGAGTACAGGCCAGAGGTGTGGGGGGTAAGAGGATTCGCCAGAGACAGAGTGGGGAGCAGAACAGGCGGATCCACTGAAATACACTGCTGAGGGGAGCAGCGGGGGAGGCAGGAGAGGTCTGCTGCGCCATGTGGGTCAGCTCCCTGGCCAGGGTTTGAACTCAGGCCGCTGAGGTGATAGTGCAGATAGTGCTGAGACTCAACCCCTAGGCCACCAGGGAGGCCTCCCACCAACATTCTTAGCTGAGTGGACACTGAAGGCGCTGAAATTTTGAGTTACAGGTGAAGTGACCTTTGTTCGGAACGGATAGACTAGAAGGACTTCAAGGTCTGGACTCTGAACTTGACCTGGAGCTTATCTGCTTAAGCCAGCTGCCAACTAAAGGGCAGAAGGGTGCCCCCAAGATGGCCTCACCTTAATCCTCATCCTCCTGGGCGTGTATGTCATTTACATGGCAAAGGGGACACACCTTCAGTTGGAAGGCCGTGGCTCACGCTGGGCAGTGAGCCCCAGGTCCTCTTTGGCTCAAGCCCGAGTGGGGAAGTCTGCGGTGGGGTCACCTGACGCGGAGGCGGGCCCCAGCGGGAGCACAGCAGCGGTGGGAGGTGACAGCAAGTCCGGTGTGGCTGGAGGCTCCACTTCCACACACATCACCTAGTGGCCAGGCACCGGGAGGACGAGGGGCCCCCACACCCCTTTCTTCCCAAGACGGGATGATGGGGCAGCACGGAAAGAAGAGAACTCCAGGCTTTTTAAAATAACTGCATCCTTTACTGGCAGTAATACAATTATTGGATTAAGAGACCACAAGGGAAGGGGCAGGTGACATTTCTGGAAGACAGATATGAAGTACAAAAAGGGGGGTGGGGAGTCATGCGCGATCATTGTAAAAATACAGTACGTTATATACATATTTGCACCATCAACTTTCAGCTCGGAAATCGTATTTACACTTTTGTTACAATCCTGGTCAGTACAATTTTTCTTTAATAGCTCGGTCTGATGGCAAATAAAGGATTTCCCGTGTAATTCATAGTCCCATGGGGTTCTTAGGCTGAGTATTCCAAGAGGAAGGTTTTCAGCATCTAGTTCATCCACAGATTTCGGTTTTTAAAAAGGATTTAATTTCTCTTTTACAAAAGAAAATTCTCCAATGAGGGGGAGGGGGGAACCACCCAAGAGTCACCACATGTTGTTACTTTACAAAAACATCCAAGTCGCAGCCTGTTTCAAGACCAGCCCTGGTGGCTGAAGAAAAATCTCACTAATGATTGCTTATTAAAAAAAAAAAAAATATTAACAAAAACAAAAAAGACAAACCAAACCAACCCCATCAGGGCACACTGGCGCTGTGGGCTGTCTCCCCAGCCCTCCTGGCCCCACACTCACCAGACAGTTTCTCAGGGGAGAGGGAGGTTGGTACAGGAGCTTTGCTCACCTGCCACCCCAAGGAGGTGAGATCGGGGGTCCCTTTGGCTGGGTCCCCACTTTCCTCATTATCAGCGAAAGAGATGGGGTTTTAAGCAAGGCAGTGGGACCAGGAGGAAAGGCAGGAGATGGCCAGCGGGCAGACTTCCCACGCGGCCCTAGCACACTGTGACTCAGGTCCACACCCAACTCCCCTTGGGCCCATCTCCCGAGACCAAGTCCATGGGGTGGGCCTCCTCTGGGGCTCGACGGCCAGGCTGGACCTCAGCCAGGGTTCAAGGGAGCTGTGGGACCCCAGGCGGATGTCTCTGCTTCCTTCCTGGCTCAGCCAGACGAGGGGAGCAGGGCACAGGCCCCTGGTTCCACACCTCCCACAGACAGCAGGGTCCCAGGGCCTCTCCTGGAGAGGGCCCAGGAGCTCCCCCCACCATGTCCTGGCCATAGTGTCCCACCCTTTCTTCAGGCCCACTGTCTGCAAGGTGTCCACAAATCCAACAGCATGACACACCTCTGGATCCGCGCACCCGACGGCTTAGGAGAAAACCACACCCCGCCTCTCCAAAATAAAACAAAACATGGGCTCTGAACACCGGGTGCAAGGAGGCACGAAGCGAGCGGCGAGCACAGGAACACTGCCAAAAACCACACCAGGACTCCCTGTGGGCGCCTGGCGGAGCAGCCACACCACGGATCCTTGAGTTGGCCCCACTGAGGCCAGGCCAGGCCGGGCCCCTGGGGCTCAGGCTTCTGCGGACCAGGACAGATCCCGGCCCCGGGAGGGAGGCCCAGCCATGACAGGGCAGCTAATACTGACGGAGGATGAAGGGCTGCGGGGGGGTCCCTCCTGGAGGCACCTCTTAGGGGACACATCCCACGCCAGCCCCGCCACCTCCAGGTCTTTGTCTCCCCCGGAGTCCTCTGAAGCGGGAGGGCGTCGGGAGAACCAGCACGGCGGCGCAGGGGGGGGGCCTGCGCAAATGCAGACAGCAGCGTGGCTTTAAAGGGCTTCCTTCCTCCCCGGCAACAGCCGCTCGTTCACTTTGCTGCTTCCGGTGGGCCTGAGAGCCGCCCCCGGCCATGCCCAGACCTGCTTCCGGGCCTGCCCACCGCGTGGGGCATCTCCTTGCCCGGGCCATGCGGGTGCGCAGCATTCAGGGACTCGTCTGCGCCCAGTTCTCAGTCCGGGGGGGTGGAGGTGGGGCTGGGAGGCAAACTGCCCAGAAAAGCAGACCCCAGCCGCCAGCCGGGGGCCCGGCCTCCAGGGAGTCCCTGGGCGCTGGGCCCCGGCGGGGTGAAGCCCGGGGGCCTGGCTACTGCTCACGTGCACAGGCGGGCCTGGGCGCCCGCAGCACTGACCAGAACCAAGACAGTTATGTACAGTTTATGCGCCGCAGAGACAGCGCTACTTCCAGAAAGAAAAGCGAAAGGAAAACTGAAAAGAAAAAAGGGAAGAGAGAACACCCAGGCCCCACCCCCTCCCTGCGAGTTCCCCAACTCTGGCTGCTGCCCTGAAATAGCGCCCTGGGAAAGGAGGTGCAGGGAGCGCGAGGCCCCGCTGAGCACTACTGGCAGAAGGGGGAGGCAGTGGGGTCGAAGCCTTTAAAAACATCTTTCAGGGACCCCGCGTCCTGCTCGCCCTCTCGGGCCGGGCTGTTGCCGGCGAAGGGGCTGCCAGAACCCGTCTTAGGGGCCTGCTTCACCGTCCCGAAGAGGGTGGGCACGGGCAGGTTGTGCACGCCGGGCTGGGGCGGGGTGCCCTCTGCCGGCGGGGTGCCTGTGGCGGTGGTGGCGGCGGCGGGGGCGGCGGCGGCCTTGGGTCGGGGCCGGTTGTAACTGTTGTATCTGTCTGTGGCTGTGCCCGCGCCCCCATCTGTGCCGGCCTTCCCGGGGTCAGGCTGCTCCAGGGCGGACTTGCGGACAAAGGGGGGCTCCTTGGCTTTGGTGGCCGCGCTCTTGCCGTTGCCGTCGGGGCCCTTGGGCTGGGCGCCTGCCTCGGCCGCTGGTTCCGCGGCTTTGCCACCAGCGTTGGGAGTCCTGGGGTCGTAGAGGCTGATGCCGCTCAGCACGCTGCTCTGCCCGCCGCCCCCGCCCTGGCCCAGCCCGCCGGCCGCCAGCACACGGGGGTCATAGGGAGCAGTGGCTGGCGGGGAGGACTCCCCGCTGGGGCTGGCGGCTGGAGAGGGCGAGTCGGTGGGTCCCGGCTTGGCGGCCCGAGAGGAGGCAGCAGAATCTGCTGGTTTTTGCAGCCGAGGGTCGGTCGGGGCCTTACGTACCCGGGGGTCGCTGGGCTTGTCACCCGGAGCCGCCGAGGAGCCGGTGGCGTTGACAGTCTTGAGGATTCGAGAAAGAAGTTCAAAGTCAGGCAGGCTGGAGCCGGACGCGCTGGGGTCTGTGGAGGCGCCGGGGCGCTGCCGAGGGTTGGGGGGGCCCGAGGTGGTGGCACGGTGCAGCCTGGGGTCCAGGGCCGCCATGGACTGCAGGGCGGCAGGGACCGGGGGCACCGTGTCCTGCTTGGGGATGGGCAGGGGGATCAGGTCCTCAGGGTTCCAGAGCACAGTGCGGGCAAAGCTGGGCTTGCTCAGGGTCACATCCTTCTTGATGTGGCTGAACTGCTGCAGCTGCGACCTCGGGTCCCGCAGTGGATGCCCAGGGAGGGGGTCCAGGGGAATGTTCACGGCCTTCTCCCGTAGAGCCCGCTCCCCTTCATCCTCTTCCACAGGGGGTGGCCCGGACCCCTTCGAGCTGCTGGGGCCAGCGGGGCTGGAATGAAGGCCGCCTTCAGGCTTGGCGGTGGGCAGGGAGCGAGCCAGTCGCGGGTCGGAAGGCCCCGTGTCTCCTGAGCCCGACCCGCTGGCAGCCTCGGCGTGGCGGGTGAGTCTGGGGTCCCGGCTGAGGCGGGGATCAGCCAGCCGGCCTCCTGTGGGGTGTCCCTTCTGGAGGCGGGGATCCCCCAGCCCACTGCTGCTCAGCTCTCCGACAGAAACCTGGGGTCGGCTAGACGTCTGCTGCCTCAGGGTCTTCAGGATGGAGGTGACGCTGCTCCCACCCTCATCCTCGTCACTTGAGTACCAGTTCCCGGTGTCACCTGAGAAAGAGCAGAGGAGCAGGGACGGGTGAGTGGCCGCCCCCTAGGCCACCAGCCCTCTGGACCCCTGGGCAGGGAACAGGGCCCGCCGAGTGCAGGGTTCCTCTGCCTCTCAGAAGCGCAATTTCTCCTTTAAAGAACCCCTACCCCACGGGTTGCCAGGAAGAGCCAGTGAGCTCAGGGGGGGCCAAGTGCACAGCCCGGCAGGTGCCGCAGATGCCAGCGGGCTTTCCTGGACACTGCTCGGCTTTAAGTCCTGTTTCATTTCATTCACAACCACCCAGCAGGCAGTGTTGCTACCATGCCCACTTGACAGATGAGAAAATAGAGGCACGGGCAGTGTGAGGAGCTCAGACTCCAGCCCAGGACTGCCCTGGCCTCACCCCCTGCGTGGCAGGCCCAGCCCTGGGCAGCCCTCGGGAGGCCTGGTGCAGTTGCAGCTGCCTCAGCTCCCCATGCTGCTGGCTCACAGCCTCCTGGCCCTGGCCCTTCCCAAAACCACGGGAGTCCCAGGGGAGGGAGCCCTGGTCATGAGGAGCAGGGCTGGGTGGGCCACTCAGAAACTGGTCCAAGTGCAAGCTTCTAGACAGCTAAACCCAGAGCCACCAGGGGTGGGGCTGCCTCTCCCCATGTCCCCACTTGTTCCCAGAGACTCCAGTCAGGGCACCCGTGGCCTCTGGCCTCAGGTTCTAGACACCATTTTTCCGCCCCATTTCACTCTGGCATGGAAGCCACCAGGTCCAGCACACAGCCTGCCGGCTGGCGGGGACTAACAGTCCACTGGTCGGTGCCAGCAACCAGCTCGCTGTGTTGTCTGAGCACAACGCCTAGGGGAGGAGCGCCGTGAGCGTGTCCCCACAGCCGCCACTGCACAGGCACAGGGGAAATCCTGCCCGGCCACCATTCTTCCCAGGGCCAGCCCCCCACCCTCCTGGATGGGATCAGGGGCTCTACCGACCCCCAAGACAGAAGGGCAGCCCAGACTGCCACTTCCAGGAACATGCGGCAGCCCCAGCCTGGCTTCACGACTGGGCGGGGGTCCGTCCTGGCCACATGCTCTTCTCCAACTAGCAGCCCGACCTAGGCGTCCCCCACCTCTCCCCTGCACAGCGGCCGGGGGCCTGCGCCCACAGGGAGAGCCCCTGCCCCTGGGGAGGACACATGCCTTCCTCATTCTCCCGGTCCTGCTTGCTGCTCTCAGCCAGCCTCCTCGCTCTCTCCTCCTCCTCCTGCTGCTTCTGCTGGATCCTCAGGTACAGGGCCCTCTGGGCCGAGGGCAGGAAGTCGGGGACACCGGCGCCCGGCTTCGGCCGGCCTGGGGGCCCTCCCTCAGAGAAGCTGTCAGGCTCCAGAGGGTGCTCGGGGAAGAGGTGCTCCCCAGGCTCCCCCGGCAGCTCTTCGTAGTGCCCGTAGTCCTCTGTGGCAGGGAAGAACTGAGGGTTCATGTCGGGAAGGGCCAGAGGTGCCCCTCCAACCCACCTGTGCCCTGGACTGGAAAACCATCTACCCTCCCCCTCCACCCCCCCAAGAGGCCCCAGAGGATGCAGCCGCTGAGAATGGGGTTCACAGCGAGGTTTAGTGACATGCGCAGATGCTCATGAAGTGAACACGGGACGGAACGGCGCACGATGTTCATAAAACGCAAAGGAAAAGCTTTGAAAAGACAGACAGAAAACAGTCCCTTGGGAATGACATTCGGGAGACGGACTGAGGGATCTTTCACTTTTTGCTCGACTCTGATCTGCTTCATCAGCTGCGGCGAGCCCAGCTTCACGGCTTCTCTGCAACCGCCAACAGAGCCTGCTCTCGCAGCGAGCGCCCCACACACGGCCTGAGCTCCCCCTCGGGGGAACAACTTTCCACCAGGAACAGAACGAAACACCAGAACGTTGCTATGGCCGTGAGCCCACCCAGATGCTCCCAGGGGTCCCACCTCTCAGGCTTCCTGAACCCCACGTGGTTTCTGAACGTTGAACGTGCCCTTGCATTTCAGGTGAGGGAGGTGGTTTCTCCCACACAACACCCCGGAAGCACATGGGTCCCCTGCCTTCACGCCCAAGGACAGGAAAGCAAATGGCACCAGCCACCTCCTTCCACAAACCCACCCACATCTGAGCCGAGGATGGGCAGCAGCCCCAGCAGATGCACCCCGAGACCGCAAGTGAGTGGGGGAAGACGTGTGTGGCGTGAGAGCATTAGGAGGCATCGTCCAGGGTCAGCACTGCTCCCTGAAATGCACTGCGAGCATGAAATGGCCCCCTCCCCTCAAATCTACGCTGGGCAACAAAGTCACCTACCCTCCAGGGCGATAGAGCTAGGGGGGAGGTGAAGCTTACAGGGCTGGAAACCATGGTTTATACACGTTTCACACACAAGTTTATAAGGCACAATGTGAAAGGGCGCCTTCCACCCCGAGAATGCGAAGTGGCAAAGGCTGGCTCAGAACTTGGGGGCGCTGTGGGCCTGCGCCACAAACCCCTGGTCAGCACACTTCCGAAGGGTGGACTTCAGGATATGTGGATGGGACTCTGAGCTGCTTCTAACAAGAGACTTTAGAGACACCTGTTGTAAACAGCCCGCCCTACTTTTGGTTCTGGCCCCATCCAGACCTTTTCCTAAGCATGTTGTTTATACATTTTTTTTAAACAGGGAGGGAAGAACAAGAACGACAGCACCCCCTTCTCTGCAGCCTGCCATTACCACTTGAGAACATGCCATGTCTCCCTAACTCCTATGGTCGGTCCGCTCCCCCAACACCTGTTCACACAGCTTCAAACTCCAGCTAAGATGCCAAAGACTCATGCACCTCGGGCCTGGACATCTGACCCCCGCCTATGTCCCCAAGAGGCTGTCCAGTGGGCAGCTGGTGCCCATAGCGGGGGGGGGGGGGGGAGGGAGGTGTCAGCAAAGCAGAAGAACCCCCTCCCCGCCACAGCTGTCGCAGTAGCACTTCTGGTGCTATGGACCCCAGTGAGTCACCCACCTCCAGCCCCCACCTGCTCCCCATCTTGTATGGAGGCATGTCAGCCCCAGGCGTTTCCCAACCTCGAAGCCCAGCCCTGCTGCTTCCTGCAGCCCCCTGACCTCTGCCCAGCAGGACTCCAGGCAGCGCAGAAACTGTCACTCTGGCCCCTGCCACCCGTGGTCTTAGAACTGTTCCTCTACAGCCCTGTCATCCTCGTGCCGAGGCCGCCTCTCTATGGCCAGCAGAGAGCGTGTGCAGGACGTCTGTCCCGTGCTCCCCTCCAGGCCACACTGCGCCTTTCCCGCTCGAACAGGGTGCCTGGCAGCCTCAGCCTACATCACGTGCCTGGGGCAGCCTCCTGCTCACACCCCACCCGCTCACCCCTGCTTGAGAGGCTCTGCTGAAGGGGCCCTCGCAGCCTGCCTGGGCCCTTCACCCTCCCACCCAGCTCCTTTCACTTCCGGCAGCCACCATGTGAAACTGAGCGTCCCCACTGCTTTGGAGCAGCTAGAGCAAGCTCTGTCCTCCTGGAACCACGTCACTGAGGGCAGCCGCGGGCACGCCTCAGCCTTAAGGAAGGAAGGCAAGGAAGCAGGAAAGGGCTGGTCATGAGGACAGAGCAGGCAGAGTGGCGAGGTCACCACCAGCAGCTGAGCCCGGACCGCCAGGAGGCCACTACTCCGGGGGGGAGGACAAGGGGGCCGAGCAGCACCCCGCTCCTGATTTCAGGCACACCAACAAAACTTCTAAGATACGAATCATTCCCAGTGACAACAATCCTGACACTCTCTTGGACCGAACCCCATGCCACTGAAAACATTCACCCACTCACAGGACAGAGATGGAGTCGGAGTCATGCTTTCAAAGACGGCGCAAGGAGGAAAACGCCACCGTCCCAAGGACCCATGTGTGAGCCCAGCCCCTGGCCCTGCGCACCTGCGTCCCCGAGGAGGCCGGGCTCCACCTCCATGCCCTCCTGCTGCTGGTAGAAGTTCTCATAGAAGTTCTGGGCTGGCGGGATGGGGGGCATCATTCCAGAATGCGGGGAGTCTCCAGGACCATAGGGCATCATGGGGGGGCCGCCGGGTCCCATGGGCGGGCCAGGGTTCATGCCAGGGCCCATCGGCATGTCAGGGTGCATGTCGGGGTGCATATCAGGATGCATGTCGGGGTGCATGTCGGGATGCATGTCAGGATGCATCGGGCCACCCATCGGTCCTGGGGGTCCCATGTTGGGCCCAGGGCCCATGGGCCCTGGGGGTCCACCAGGTCCGGGGAACCTAGGAGGAGGAAACGGGGTTTGTGAGAGGGGCTGCAGGCAAGGGTGGGGGTCACACTGCTGAGGAGACGTGGGGGTCTCAGACGAGGACACCACAGCTTTGGAGAGAGGCAGGACACTGGCCCGCCATGGGGAAGCCTGGCTGAGCCCAGAACAGCGGCCTGACCTGCACTCACCTCACGCCCAGCTTCTCAGCCAGCTGTCCGGTGGGCCGGACCACGATCTCAAACAAGGAGGGGATCTTCTTATTGTACATGTCCTGCTGCTGCTGCAGCTGCTGCGGGGACAGCGGCTCATGTGCCGGCATGGGCATCTGAGGGGGCCCGGGTGGTGGCGGCGGCGGTGGTGGGGGTGGTGGAGGGCCACCCTGCATAGGCCGGCCGTTGGGAGAGGTTGGGGCCTGGGGGCCAGGGGGTCGAGGCGGGGTAGGCAGGAGGCCCACACCAGGGGGTGGTTTGGGCAGGGGGTTGATGCCCTGCTTCTTCAGCTCCTCCACTTCTTTCTCATCCTCGGCACCCGCTTCTGCATCATCAGCCAACATCTGCAGGTGAGAAGGGAGGAAGTGAGAGGAGTGAGCCTCCCACGGCCAGGGCTGGAGTCGGGCTGGGCAGGACCCCAGTGCTGAGAGCTGCATTTTTAGGAAATCTCTTAAAATGCAAGGCCCCGAAGGATCTAACGCTGTAAGACCAATGACCACCATGCCCTTTGGCGTCTACTCTCTGGCACAGCAGGCAGGGGAGGCATTCCTGTTTGGTGCAGAATATTTTACATAAAATGTACTAAGCATTTCACCATTCAAGGGCAGTTAGAGTACTCAGGAGGTTGTACGACCATCATCTCTAACTAGGTCTAGAAATTCTGTCACCCTAAAAGACCCACTAAGCAACTACACCCTGTCGCCCCCAGTCCGTGATGACCACCCTATTTTCTGTCTCTATAGATCTGCCTTTCCTGGAAATTTCTACAACACGTGGCCCTCTCTCACCTTTGCTGGATAAACATAGGTGCAAGAAGGACAGACAAGAGCCCCACCCCCCGCCCCAAAGCTCCCTGCGCTGCGGACAAAGGCTGCTTCACACCAAGGCTGCTTCACACCGGCTAGGAGGGGCGGGGCTAGAGGCGCTAAGGCTCTGACTTCCCCTCCCAAAGGCTGGCCTGCCCCCCTCACCTCCACGTTCTGTCCCGGCCCCATCACCTCCTGTCTAGTCTCCCTACCATATCCTGCATGCAGGCAGAGCAAGCTTCACCCAACAGAGACAGCCGTGGCCTGCCCTGCTAAGCCCTCTCAATGGCCACTCCGTGCCCTCAAGGCAGGACTTAGCAACTATACCTCATTAAACAGAAATAAACATGACCACAACTTTCTCCCATCCCATGGAGAAGGCACCACTGTCCAGCCACTGAACAGGCCCTGCTGTCTGCCCCCTTCCCAGGCTGCGGGCCTCCATCTCCAAGCACTGGGTTTGCCCGCTGAACGACCACACTTCTCCCACCACTGGTGACCAGGACACCTGCCAGCAGCACCCTCCTCCATCAGACTGGCTTTAGGACCGAGGCCGCGGGTTCCATCCAGAGCTACCTACCGGCACGGTGGGCACATGGCAGACTCCAGACCCATCATGCTCCTGGAGAGAGGGCCTCCTCCTCGTGCTCTTGGTTGCACTGGAGCTGCTCAGCTAGGCCTTGCCGTGGGGGCCCTCCTCCTTCAATGGGCTTACAGCCTCCCGGCTGTCTGGAGAGCACCTCCTCCACCTGAGTTGCCACCAAGCCTCCCTTGCCCCTCGAGGGGACCTTGCAACATCCTCAAGTGGACGAGCAATCCTGGGCGGGATGTCCTGCTGGGACCCACAACCACTCTTACCCTGACTGCTTCTGAGTGATCCCAGGGGGTTCCAACAGCCAAAGCACCCTCTCCCCAGCAAGGGACTGCTGCCAAGTGCTGCCTCGCCAAGCCTGGGCCAGGTTGCATCTAGCCAGAGCAGCAAGCTCCCAGTCAAGAGAAAGAGCCCTAGCCAGAAACAGCCAAAATGTTCTTCAACTGCAGACCAGGTGAACAAACAGAACCGCCACACAATGGAGGTGCGTCTCAGCCACAGACAGTCCCCACCAACCAGCTGCCTCAGATGCTTCACACCCAGTGAAAGCAGCCAGATCTGTAAGGTGGTATAGACAACACCCCCCAACATCAGGGGTCTCCAGGGGCTGGCAACTGGGGGGTTCTCACCAGAAAGGGTACAAAGGAGTTTTGGGGATGATGGGATGAATTTCCTCCATCTAGATTGTGGGGTAGCTATTGGACACTGTAGCTTTGTCAAAACTCATGGCATGTATACTGGGCCTCCCCTGGTGGCACAGCAGTTGAGCGCTGGGCTGAGAGGCTGCCTGCAGCCTCTGCAGTGCTGGTTCGTTCCCCAGACACCAGAGAGGGTCCCACCAAAAAAAAAAAAAAAAACAACCACCACCAAAAACCCTCATGGCATGTATACTAAGAAACTCAGGGCCTCCCCGGTGGCGCAGCGGTTGAGCGCTGGGTTGCGAAGCTGCCCGCAGCCTCTGCAGCGCCGGTTCGATCCCCGGCTGCTCCCCGGCCACCGGCGGAGGGTCCCACATGGCGCGCAGACCTCTCCTGCCGCCCGCTGCTCCCCTCAGCAGTGTACTTCGGTCCTTCTGCCTGCTCTGCTCCCCGCTCTGACTCTGGTGAGTTCTCTCACCCTCCCGCACTTCTGACTGTACCCAGTGCTTATATAAATAAATAAATGTTAAAAAAAAAGAAAAGAAAAAGAAAAATCTTAAAAAAAAAAAACTCAGAGCTTTGTAGTAACAGACAATTATGGATGACACCACAACTATAACACAAACAAGTGTAACAAGACATGTTTTTCTCAGTGATTGAAAATTTCTTGTTGGAGAAAACATCAACTTAGTCACCAAAGAAAGATCAAAAACAAAAAAGCAATTAAATGTAACGGAAGGATTTAAAGGCAAAGAACCAGAATGTATGCGACTCACACGCGTGGTTCACGGAAAGACAACACAGACTTCAATGTGAGCGCGGCCAAGTGGACGGGGCGAGGGGAGGGGACACCAAGGGGTAGGTGAGAGAAACGCTTCGCCCTCTGCCCGGCGCTCACTCCCACAGAACGCTCATGGCCAACCCCAAAGGAAAGCATGTTTTCAGACCTAAACCAGATGGCAAAACCTGGTGTGTGCGTCGGGACAGACGGAAATGTCACCTAATGGTGGGACGGTAAGTTTGAAGACAAGGGAGGTGGGACAAAGACCAGAGACCTCTCAGGAAGGGGTGGCTGGAGGTTGGTCCTAAGTGGCATCCTGGCTTGGATCCAAGGCCTTCCTGGGGCCCCAGCCCCACTGCCCCCCAGCCCGGGTTGACCAAGCTGCAACTGCACGCAGGCAAGGAGGGATGGGTGGCCCGTGCCTTTGTCAGGCTGGGTCAGGCCCTTCAAAAAGGCTCACTGTAAGCTCTAATTCTCTGACCACCCGAATCTGATTCTGGAAAGGTTCTTCCAGGCTCAAGGTTCATTTTTAACCTAGTGAGACTTGACTTTAGATAGGGGACGATACTGTTGCTTTCAGAACATCTGTGGCCGGAACCTGGAATGTGCCATCGTGGTTTGTGTTTGGCTTTTAATAAGGCAGCTCGAGCTGTGCTGTCCAATGTGTGACTACTGGGTAGATGAAACTGTCCAAATTGACATGAGCTGTAAGAAATGAGGACTAGATCCCAAAGACTTAGTACCCCCCAAACAAAAATCTTAATTTTTTTTCAGCATTTACCTTTTACTGAAATGATACTTTGGATTACGGGTTTTAAAAAGATATATTATTAAAATTCATTTCATCTGCTTCTTTTCCCTTGTTTTTAACCTGGCTACTAGAAAAAAATGACATGCGCAATTCTGTCAGTTCCACTGGACGGCACCGGTCTAGAGCGTGTATCGCGAGCCTCCAGCAGGGGGCACTCCTCTGTCAGACACTGATCAGTTCCTCAAATGAGAAGTGGAACCACAATGACTCTCCCAACTGAGTAGCCTGGGTCTTAACTCACAAAATGCAGGATAGCTACAGGTTACAACACCCTATTCCCAGGGTAATGGGTCCACAAAGGGCCTGGCAAGATGAGAACTTAGCCCAGGAACCCTCGCCAAAGCAGAGAGGATAGCATCCTGTTGCTGGCGCAGGGCTTCTCCTCAAATCCCCCAGGCAGCCCGCCACCTATTACACAGGACAGCCACTGACAGATGGGCACCTGACATTGGCTCACACTCTGATAGACGCTCTGGGAACTAGAGGCAGGAAAGCCTTCATTTGAAAGGGCACATGTCCGCTCACCCACTCCCTGGGATGCATGGACAGGAACTTGGGGTTTCTGAAACTCTAAGCCTGATCCCTCAGGAAGAACAACAGCTACTAGGATGTTTCAAATGCTACCTGGTGGAAGTAAGCCCACTTGGAGCCCTCTTGTTTCCCTGCACTTTTCCTACTGAATAATGGAACCCTTCAGCCTTGGAAAGGGACATCGGACATTTCCACCCTAACAGTACCCACCCCAATTGCAGCTCTTATGCATCCTGGGCTCTCTCAAGGAACAGCTTAAAAATCACTAGAAATGCGAGCAGACACCCCAGGCAACACTCCCTTTTGTAACTGCCTTCCAGAAGAGCAGCAGCAGCCAATCAGGCAGAGAAGACGCATGCATGCACCCATAAGCTCTGAAACAGCCCACTCCCAATCACACCAGGCAGAGCTGCAGTGCCCCATCAGTGGATAGCACCCCTATTCCCCACAGTTATGACTGCACTCCTCACCCTCACCTTATCCAAAAGCTCCCTCGTTTCTTCAGTCAGAGGGTCATGGGAGAACATGCAGTCGTCCCCGTTGATGCAGCTTCCCGTCGTGTGGTACAGCTTACACGGGAAGTCACGTTCATCGCAAATTAAGGCAAAAGCTTCACTTAAGTGGGCCCCCCAACCCTGCCCCGGGCAGAATCCACCCTGTGTCTGGAGAGGGAGAAACGAGCCCAGAGCAGGGACCAAACTTGCTCAGGGCCACACAGCACATTGGCTTCAGACCCTCGATGAGGCCCGCAGCTTCTCCAGAGGCCTGCTCCAGTGTGCTTCCCGCCCACCTTGCTGGCCTGGGGCTGTCAAGGCCTCACTCAACGGGGTTAGCGAAGTTCAGCAACTTGCCCGTGGTTACAGCCAGCTGAAGTCTCAGGACTGAGGTAACAGGCAAGGGCAGAGAGGCCCGAGCAGAGAGCACAAGTGCCCCAGGTGACTGACTCATCTGCAGAGGGGGCGAGCAGACCCACCATCACAGGTCATCAGCGAGGGTTAAACGAGAGGGAGCCACAGAGACCCATGCGGTGAAGGGCAGCTCTGGTTACCAGGAGGGGAAAGAACTCCCGTCCCCTCCAACGGCTCAGACGTGGGCGCCAAAGGATATCATGCATGTAGGGGCAGTTCTCAGCTCGGGCACAGAACCCGGTGATGTAAAACTTGCACAGTTCTCGCTTCTTTGGTAGCTCGATGTCATGGCTAAAATTGCAGTGGTCTCCCTGCAAGAGAAGCCAGGAAAGGGTCAGCAGGACAAGATCATGTGCTTACTCCGTCTGCAAAGGGAAGCAACTCTGGTCACGCTGAATCATGGAGGGGCCAGGCAAGAACAGGCTCACAGTGTGGGTCCCCACAAAGCATACCACCTCCTTCCCAGCCCTCATCACAGGCCTTTCACTGCTTCTTTCCCATGCTCCTTTCTTTCCTTCCCTTCTCCCTTTCTCTGATCTACACTCTGTGGCAGAACAGTCACTATCCAGGTCCACGCTTTATTTCTAACAGATCCCCAATTTTGTTTAGAAAGTCACTGCCCAGCTGAAACTACCCTTTTTCCTGACCTCCCTTGCAGTTCTGATCAATAGTAGGTCAAAGTTCCCAGGAAGGACAACATGCCTGAATTTAACAAGAATCCCTTTACCAATGTCTCCTTACTGGCCCTTAGATGACACCGAGAGGCACAGCAGTCATCGTGCAACCAAGAGGACAAAAGCCACATGCTTAAGGAGAGCGGAATAAAAGGGAGGAGGGAGCTTCAGGGTGCTACGCCCACAGCACCAGCCCTGCATGGCCCACCCAGCCCAGGTGTCTTGTTCTGACAGACTCACGTCAATGTATTTAAGCAGCATGGTTCAGCTGAGTTTTCCGTTATCTGCAGCTGAACACAGTGTGAGCAAGACACAAGTAAACTACAGACGGGAAGTGTTCTAAAACCATTCTCCGCACTCTCAGAAATAGCTACTCATTTTTCTTTTTCTTTTTGCTTCATGTACTTCACATTCCCCAGTATAAACTGTGTCTATAGTAAGGACCACACATGTTTATATACACATTTGTTTGGAATATACACCTTTTTCTATGGAGAGGCAAGAGCAGTTACTCCGTGGGGAGATGGTCCACTACTATCCACCATCGGTCCACTACTTTTATCTTTGAAAAGCTGGCTGGTCGAACTGAGACTAGATTACACTGAACTCCTGCAGAACTCCATTGAAATGGCCCATCTTCTGGTAATGAATTCCACCCTGAAGGTCAAGTCTGACCCAATCTTCCCACCCCACCCCCCTTAACAGTTTCCTCTCCAACAGGAGAGTTTGTAATAATGTAACTGGTATGTAGCACACCTTTGCACTTATAGCCATCCTAGTAATGTTTGAGGCCATAGGGATAGGTTGAAAATCTTGGCCAAAAAATTACCCTAAAAAAACAAGAAAACCCCATGCTGTTCTGGGTCTTCAGTCACTTGAGAAGAGAACCAAGTCTTCCAGGTCCCCAGACATCTCCATAGCAGGGAATCCCCAACACTCACAGAGCCATGGGCTCACAGCTTTGTGCCCAGTGCCCCCAGACACTCCAGCTGGCCCCTTACCCATGTGCACCGCCCTTCCACGAAGTACTTGCAGATGACTTTGCCCTTCTTGTCGGACTGCTGGTGGGGCTTGTCATGGTCGCCCCTCCGGTAGCTTCCGCCGCCGTCCTGTGAGGAACAGAGCATGCTTGAGGACGGGAGGGGAGGCCCTGTGCAGGCCGCGTGGAGACAGGCTGTGAGAGATGAGGGTAAGGAAGCTGGCCAGTGGAGATGACCACTCCATTCACAGAGGGTTCACAGTTAACAATAGCACTGACCAGAGGCCACGCCACAGTGAGGCTCTCTGTGGGGTCTGGGCACCTGTCTTCCTAAAACTCTCCAAGGCTTACAGGAAGGGTCACCTAGAACCTTCTGAACCTCAGAGACTCATTATAGCTGACTGCAGGTGCTTCAGCAACAGAGGGTCCACCAGCGACATGTCCCCCGTGAGAGGCGATTAGTGCTGATTGGTCTTCGGGGGATCGACTGATGGGAGCAGGGGGCCAGCATGGGCCTCAGAGGACATCTCATTAAAGAAAAAAGGTCGAGGGCCTCCCAGGTGGCGCAACGGGTTGAGCGAAGTGCTGTGAGGCTGTCTGCAGCCTCCACAGCGTGGGTTCAATTCCCCAATGGCCAGGGAGATTCCCACATGGTGCGGCAGACCTCTCCTGTCACGCCCGCTGCTTCCCTCAGCAGTGCTTTTGGTCTGCCTGCCTGTTCTGCTCCCCACTCTGTCTCAGGTGAGTTCTCTCACCCTCCTGAGCCTCTGGCCTGTTCCCCCAGCTATTGTATAAATTAAAAAAAAAAAAAAAAGAGAAAAGGTCGAAAAGGAGCCCTGGCTAAAAGCATTAGACTGGAATGAAAAGCCGCCTCACCCCCATGTCATCATCGTAGAAGTCCTCGTCATCGTTCAGGCCGCCTTTGTTCATGCCTCGACCACCACCTCGGCCTCGGCCTCGGCCCATGCCTTTCCCTCGACCTCGGGAGCCCCGGCCTCGACCCCGATTGAGCCCTGCAGAGAGAGCTGCCGTTAATGGCTGTCTCCCCCAGGTAGACCCCACACCCAGCAGCTGCCAGGAGCCCCCCATGCTTCGCCCGGGATACCCACCTCGTCCTCGGCCATCCTTGGAGCGGCGGTACTGGTTTAGCTCCTTAGAATATTCGTCGTAATCCTCGTCTCCCAGGGGCTCGTCACCTTCTCCGTACTGGAATTCCAGGGAGAAGAGAGTAGGAAGGTGTCACTCAAGGACCAACTGCATGGTCCCTTACTACAACCTGTGCCCGCTGAGGACAGCGTCAGACACAGATGGGCAAGCGAGACATGGCAGACCTTATCTGCACCCCTTTTGCACACACCAGTCTGAGCAGTGAGTGGTCCAAGTCCTCCCCTGCACAAGTTTGAGAACTCTCAGTCAGTCACCAGCAAAGCCACCAGGGCGCCTCCACACACTGCACAATAGACTGTCCCTCAACAGGGATGAGGCTCCCTTGCACACCGGCAGGGAAAGGCCCCCCAGAGGAACAGAATGGGGAGGGCAACGACCAGGTATATGGGGGATGAGAAAGTAAGCCCCTGACTGCAGAGGCAGGACGCACGCTAGGACACACTCAGGCTACCTGTCTTCAGGGATGGGAACTAAGTGGCTGCTGGGGACAGAAGTGAGTGGGAGATTTCTATTTTCACAGCTCACCCTCTGGTACCTTTTCAATTCTGAACCACAAGCAGGTTTCCTCTATTTCAAGGCAAAATAAATGAAACACTAAGCCTACCGCCAGATGCTTTCTTTTCAGCTTAAGCCTCTCAGGCTACTCCCAACAGCACTTACGGCCCCACAGCCAGCCACCCCGGGGCCGGGAGAAAGCTTACATCCATCTCTTCCTCATAGAAGTCGTCGTCGTCCTCCGGGTGGTCTCCCACAGAGCCTCTGCCCCGGCCTCGGCCGCCCCTGCCCATGCCTCGGCCTCGAGACCCTCGGCTCCCTCGGCCACGGTAGCCCCGGCCCCGGCCTCGGCTGCCTGCAGGGAGAGTCAGACAGTGAAACAGGGCCCCAAACAGAGCAGACCCCACCAGCGAGAAAGAAATCAATCCACCCTTTGACCCTGAATTATTTCATTCTCCCGCCCCAAAAGTCTTCCCTGCTGCCTGAGCAGCTTTTCAGCAGCCCCCGGCCCTCTCCACAATGAGCCGCAGCATCCAGGAGCCTGCCTGCCACTGTACCCAGGCCACCAGCCACGTGTAGCTGTTGAGGATCCGAAAAATGGTTGAGCAAGACTAAGAGATGTAGTGAGTGAAGGGTGCACACTGGATTTCAGATCAAGTGAGGGTACAATCACACCAGCCTATTTTGACTACATGCTGAAATAAGACTGTGAATGTATTAGGCTGATAAAATACATTGTCGACATAAATTTCACCTGTTTCTTTTCACTTGTTTAACGTGAAGACGAGACACTCCCCTAACAGCAGAGCCTGTCCAGGAGCGTCAGCTAAAGAAAAGAACGCCTGGCCAAAAGCTGCCGGAAGACTCTGGGCACGTCCCAGGGCTAGGAAATCTCATCAGGAGATGGTGGCTAAAATGGCTGGGCCTCTGCCCTCCCCCACCATCCTCCCAACAGCCACAGGTTCAAAGTTCAGAGGTGTGGCAATCCCATGGGCAGCAGACACACCTGGTCAGGTGAGGGAACTGGGAGCATGGGGGAGGGGGAGAATGGGAGGCTACTGAGGGCAGAGGCAGTCGCTTGCGGTTACCCTAGCCCAGATCAGAGAGCGCAACTGTCACTTCTCTCTCCCACTGACCAGGAAGTGAGCTCCAGTAAACACCTGTCAGCCACATTGGCCATTACCCTGCCTGAACAGCCTGGCACGAGGTCTGCATGTATGCCCCGGAGGGGCAGCTGCGGGCCTCACCTCGGCCCCGGCTGCTGCCCTCCTTGGCGCGTCTGTACTGGTTCAGCTCTTTGGTGAAGTCGTCGTAGTCATCCTTGCCCATGTCATCATCCTCATCGCCCTCATATTCACCATACTGCTCGTTCTCGTAGTCTTCGTACATGCCATAGCCCTTGCTGTCCAGCTTGGAGTAGGCCTTCTTGGGCAGGGACGTGGTGTGTGACGGGGGGTACTGCTGGTGGGACTGAAGGGGAGAGAAAGGGGTCAGCCCAGGGCCTTGGGTCCAGACCACCAAGAACCCTACTACTGCTCCCTGAACCAACATGCCCATCTGGGTGTTGCTGCTGTCCCTGGGCACGATGCCAGCCTCTAGGGACTCTGCGGATGGGTTCCCACCTGAAGGCTGGGCAGTGGGCCCAGACATTCTACAGCAAAGGGCCATGGTTTCAAAGAAAATCAAAAGACATAGACCTTGAGATCCCTAAGAATCAGAGAGATGTGCAGTGGCCCCCACTCACCGGTGCGTAAGGGGGGCTGTACTCTCGGTACTTGCGGTGCCCCTTCTCGCTGGGGCTGAAGTCCGAATCGTCCGAGAAGTCCGAGAAGTCATCGCTGGAGGAAGCGTGGCGCTGGGGGACAGGGCAGGGGACTTAGTGATCCCGCCGCAGGCAGGCCCATCTGGTGGCGTTAGCCCTGGGACAACCCATGCTGGAAAGTGCCAGAAGGGTTCTGTGCTCCACTCAGAAACACCTCACCTAGGGGCATCTGGTGGCAATGGAGCATGAGCTACAAATGCTATAAAAAAGGTCTTTATCCAATTTGGGGAAGGAAGAAACAACACTATTAACAGTGCCCTCTGGCCTGCCAGACCAGCCCTGAGCCAGGCAATGGCAGCCCCTGAGAAGCCCCAACCCTGCCAGACTTACTTTGTGCTTGGATTTCCTCCTCTTCTTCGACCGCCTCTTCTCTTTCTCCCGCTCTTTCTTCCGCTTCCGCTTCAGTCTCCGGTGAGACTTTTCATCGTCAGAATCGCTGTGGTGCTTCTCCCCCTTGTCCTTTCGGCTCCTCTCTGGCCCTCCCGAGGTGTCCTGGGTCTCCTCGGCCCCGTCATCTTCCAGTTCACCTTCTTCCAACTCGCCATCTTCCCTACAAACCAACCCCAAAGCCAACATGAACATGGGGCTTAAGAGGAGACCCCCCCGAGGGCAATGGGTTCGCAAAGGCTGCTGGGAGTGAGAGTGGCCTACCCCAGTGAGAGGTCCAGGGAAGGCGTGGGAGCCATGGTTTCTCGTCCCACCCCTCACACTCCCCTCTGAAAGGTCTGGTCCTGTCTATCTTGGCTGGGGGTGGTGGGACACCGATGGACTTTAAAGGTACTGCCACCAACCCCAGGACCAAGCCAAAGTCGGGTTTTCCCGAAAGGTTCCACAGACTGGAGCTCTTAGGAGAAAGGGCCGAGGTTCTGGGGTCAGATGAGTTGAGGGACTCGCCAACTTGTGCTACCAATGAAGTGGGCCCAGATAGCACTGCTTGAGTGTTTGACACGCGCTGGGACACAGAAACTGCTTCTCTCAGGAAACGGACTAGCCTCCCTCCCATGGTGGCCAGGGTGCCACCGGGGCCCAGACCTCTGGAGGTTCATGGGAGGAAGACGAGGCCAGTGGGAGAGGGCCGTGGTGCTAACGGGGGACAGCCCGCGGATGCCTGGGCCCCACCCACAGGAGGCCAAGGACACCAGAGGAATGTTACAAAAGCCCAAGGGAAGCACAGTGGACAGGCTCTGCTCCCTGGGTTCCAACATCTGACACACCCTGGCAGCTCCACAGTGCTGGGCCAGAGGCAGGGGGGCTGAGTGGCTGGAGAAGGGGGGCGGCTGTCACAGGATGGCCCTCGCCTGCTGCTCTCCCCCTTGTTTCCCACCTGACTTGCCCTGCCTCCCGCATCCCTCCTGGCTCCCCATCCTACAGATTCCAGACCTTGTCTACCCCACCATGTCACCCCAACCCCTGTACTCCCAAAAAACAGGACAGCTGCTGCCAATGGGACTGAATGTCAGCACACCTTGGGGGGCAGGGAGGGGATAAATAGGGTCAGGAAGGGAGAAGTGAAGTTGAGAGAAGACTCCGGTTTTTGAGCCAAACCCACAGTTTTCACAAGTACAGGAGCTGGTTTAGAAAAAAAAAGAAAACATGTTATGTTTCAAATGCTCCCTCAAGTTCCTCTTGGAAATGAACATGTGAGAGCATTAAAAAGTTCCTTCCAAATTAACTAGACACAAAGAGATCAGGACCCCCGAAACCTAACCTCCAAGGAAGGGAACTCATGGAGGTAGAAAAGGTCTGGGCGGGGTCAGTGTGGGAACAGGCGCAGTAGGAGAGCAAGGCCAAGGCCAGCACCAGAAGGTTCGGGAAGGGCTTTGCAGTGAAAAGATAACTGCCCCCTTCCCTCAGCCTCCTTCAGGCCCTTTCACGGGTTCTGCTCCCTTTATTCTCCACCCCGCCCCCCTCCCCATGCTGCTCCTCAAAGGTCAAGAAGGCCCTCAAGAAAGGGCTTTTCCCTTAACTCTCATTCCTAATTCAAAAGGGTTAGGGCCAAGGGCCTCCCGAGCAAAGGTCAAGGGCGGCTCTCACATACAAAATGCAGGACACCGAGCCTTCTGATGTTTCAAAGGCAACAACACAGAGATGGGGCCTTGCAGGCTTTCCACCCCATGTAAACAGCCAGGTTGCCCGGGGCCGACCCACAAGACTCCGCCAGGTCAACTGGACAGCATTCCTGACAAGTGAGGCGCCTTCTGGGGCGCGGCCCACAGGAGGCACAAAGCTCTGCCCGGAGAGGCAGCGGGGATGGCCTCACCCACAGTAGAGGCACCGCCCGACTGGGGAAACTGGTTGTGGCAAACTCCCAGAGGAGGGAGAAGGTGTTACTCAGCAGCCTGGCAAACTTCCTGTGGCTTGGAGATGGTCACGGATCTAACAGGGGACACGGTGGGTGAGTCCTAAGGTGGTGGCACCTCAGGAGAAGCAGACAAGCAAGGCAGACACAAGGGAGCGGTACAAGGCCCAAAGGCAGATGGAGAAATAGAGGCTGGTATTCCCTGAAGAAAAGCACAAACAACATTACTCGCCAGTTTGTCTGGGAAGGAAACTGCTCTCGGAGGGCCAGAATCACAGGGCAGGGATGGTGCAACTGCCTGGCCACCCAGAAACCCAGCTGATGCACACAGCAAATAGCCAAAGACCTCCCTGGAACCAGGAGGAACCTGTCCCAGAGGAAGGGACAGGAGAACAGCCTCTTGTTTCAGACATGAGGGACTTAAAGGCAGAGTAGGTGAAGACACTTGAGGGGATCAGAGAGCCGGTGGGTGACACAGAAAAAGCCAGAAGCGCACTGGTTTTCCTCCTCCGACCCCATGTTCTTCCTGCATCCATGAGGTCAGAAGTGGAAGGGGGAGACTCCTCCACTCCTGCGAGATGCCACAGCGCTTCTGAGCACTGTTACTTGGGCAGGGTTGAGAACCTCATTTTCAGCGCTGTTCCCGTAGGGGGACTACAATGACAGAAGCCTGTGCCGAGACAGACTCGGAGACAGGGGGCTGGGGCGGTGAGCCAGAGCTGTCTGCCCCCCGCCCCCCCATACTCCCTCAGCTCTGCCACTGGAGGGTACAGACACGGTGGCCTCCGTGCCTATCCTGCCGCCATCCGCTGCCTTGGACGAAGGCACAGGCTGCTCCACATCCTGCCCCTGGGGCCAGTGGCACGAAAGGCCAGCCAAGCAACTCCAAAGCGTAAACCATCACCAAGAATGATTCTAGGACTTTCCAAGATGAAGCACAGCACACAAATCCGGCCTACGATCAAAGACTCTGAGCCAGAGAATCCGGATTCTCTGCTGCCTGCACAGCCCCGGGCACATGTGAGTCATTGAGGCCCTACCTATATATACCTTTTTATCAAGTGGGCACTGAGTACTTGAGGCTAAAAAAGTTGTTGGTCGTTTATGAAGGAGCAGGGGATACCAGAGGGGACACTGGAAGGTGACACCAGGCAGTCTCAGTGGCACCTGGCCATCCCATGCTCCACATGCCTCAGAGCCCAGGCAAGCCTCGTCACCTGACAGGGGGCCCTGATTACACACTGGGGCGTCCCTGCCAAATGTCCCGCCTGAGAATGAGGTCCATTCTCTTCAGATTCACTTCAGTAGAAAACAAGAGACCAACTCAGACCAGCTGGGACAGAGGGCGGAAGTCCTGTGGGCCACCGTGACGGCACCAGGGCAGCCTTACAGGAGAGCAAGCAGGCTTACGAGGTGCCGCTTCACAGACTACCAGCAAAACCCATCTCAGAGTGGAATTAAATGCCGAGGGAGCACGCCTAACAGACTGTGACATAATCCCCCAAGAAAAGTGGGGGAAGCCCCACTGTGCTAATCATTTCTACCTAGACCTGCCAAAGCCTCTTGAGACAAGCATTCTAGAGCAACCCTGACGTGCCGGCGTGGCCAAGACACTCTGTCCCCGAAGCTGGACCGGCCAGGCTGGCGGGTGACCCGCCACAGCAGGAGACCAAGAGCCAAGGGAGACCACCTGGGAACATGGCCTCGTCTGGGTAAGGCTTGGGGTCACATCTGCCCCGTGCTTCGTGGACTGGGCTGCCAGGACACTGCAGTAGCCCCTTGCAGAGCTGGTGGCTCCTCCTCTCGGGTCAAAGACTAGATCTGGACGTCCGTCCTGAAGAATGCCCACTGGTGCACTCCAGGGGTGCAGAAGAGTGATGTCTTGGTCACATTCCAAGGGCTTGGCAAACACCATGCCTGGCAAAGAAACCTCATGGTTCCCAATGGGCCAGCTCCTTCCACCAGCCTACAGATTTGGGCATCACCCTGCAGACCAAGGAACTCAACCCACCTGGCCTCTTCCCTGGCCTATGCTCCAGGCAACCAGACTCAGGTCTTCCTCATCTGTATACTGGGATAACTGCATCCCGACCCCAAAGAGCTGAGGGTCAGGCGAGATATGGGTAAAGCCGCTGACGTGGGGGCTGTGTGGCAAGTACACAGTTCAGTACCAAATAGCACCCATTGGTTTTAAAAACCAGCAAGCGGGAGTGCATGTGTGCCGGGGATAGCCCTAACCATGGGCTACCCCATGGAAAAGCTTAGCAAGCAGTGTTTTCTCTCTATGGAGCTACAGCCAGCTCCCCTCGGGGACCACCGTGATCTGCACATCTCTCAGTCTGACACAGTCCCCTGCCAACAGGTCCCGATGACTGAACTGCCAAATCGCCATCTCCCCTTCTTCAGCAGTCACCTCGGTGCTACAAGAACCAAGCAGCTGAACAGGAGGAAAAGCCACAAGGAGAACTGGGTCCCCAGAAGAAGGGACAAAGACCATTTACCCAGATGAAGTCTGGTGATATGGAAACTTTCGAGACAAGAGGATGGGATCAGAGTTGAAAGGGGACTGGGTTTGTGGATCTACCTGGTTTAAAAAAAGAGAAGCAAATAACAAAAACAAAAAAACCCAAAATATGGAAACTCGTGGGAGTTGTGACTGTTACCTGAAGCTCATAAGTGCTCTTGACAAGAGGCAGCTAGGTTAATGTGAAGGTCAGGGTTATGATCATTAACTGCCCAAACTCTCAACAAATTGCCTGGTAGGCTCTGAATGACCTATTAACTAGGGACAAAATTACAAAAATTACAAGGCGGCTCCGCCTCTTCAAATGTTTAACGACAGGCCTAAAAGCACAAGTCCAGGATCCCCGGATCCAACCCTGCAGGACAATCGTTTACGAGGCGCGAAGGCATGGAGCCAAGGCCCCCCAAGACCTTCCCTCAATTTAGGATGTGGCGAAGCAGCCACAGGGGCAGGACCTCCTTGAGGGAGTTTCAGAGGCAGGAAACTCTTGAAATAAACCTCGGGGTCTTGCACATGTTTTTCAGTGTCCTTACTACCTAGGTTCATCGACCAGAAACCAAGAGCAAATGAGCTCCTGGTCGCCTTTCCCTTAACATTCTCAGGGTGCTCATAACTGGTTCTGTGACATCACTCCGTTTCCAAGGTAACAAGCCCAATACCGTGGACACTACTAGAGCTGCAGGCACAAACCTAGCGCGGGAGACGCTGGACCTGAGCAGTGCTGGGA